ATCTGCTTTCTTACCAGTTGAAAGCGAAGGGAGGCATCTTCCGGGTGAGCTTCAACTGAATTCTCCAATTCCTTCGACTGTACTCTCCGATCAGCTTCTTCTCGGTTAACTTCTTCAATTCCTCCTCCTCCTCCTACTTCTTTATCTTGCAGCTGAAAGATAAGAATTTCAGTCGTCGCGAAATTGTGTTGTTGCGGGAAATAAAAGGCGAAAACGAGAAAGAAAATCGAAAGAAGCAGAGAGAAGAAGAGACCATCGGTGACATTTTGGAACTCAAGACTTCCACCGCTGAAACCCTAAACCAGACGAAGACAACGCCCCGCCCGACCCAGCCAGACCCTTTTGTCCTCAGGGCGGGAAGTTTGGGTTCGGTTTTCCAGAATTACTGATAGCGTACCAAGTTTAAGGATAGTTACCAATAAGTCTCTCTACTCTTATTTTTAACAAATTTCAGTTCAAATTTAATGACAACTCATGCTTAATAAGCATAAGCATGTTGACTAACATATCATATGTGTAGTGAAAGGCATTTTTAATCCTCAATTCACTTTCATTAATAATCGACCACAATCGTACCTCGTTGAATCTCGAACGAAAAAATCCATAAAAGAAGGATAGGTGAAGTTTGAGAGTTGAGCTAAGAGACAAAATAAGAAGTCCCAATATGAATTACTGAATCGCTATTCGTCGCCCTAAAATCTCAATTTTATCGCCCTAAAATATATAAATTGATACTTTTACCCTCTAGCCCCAATTTCTAACCAAGGTAAGAACCTCGAATAGAACAGAGAAGGCAATAAGGTTCCTGGTCATCTCCCTCCATGTGAGAGATCGCTTCTTCATTCTGGTTAACACGGCAGCTTTCTCCTTAAAAATGTATTTCAGCCGCTTCTAAACATCATCGCCGCCGTGTAGTCTAAAAATAGTATTCCAAACCCTACATAATCCCCTTGCGCTTCTTCTTATCGACAACGGCATTAACCGTCTCCTTGTACTCACTCTCCACCTTGATGCTCGGCTTCTCCTCAGCCATTGTTATTCTCCCTCTCCGATCGCCTCCTCCTACAGGTTGTAATTCCGGTGGCTTTATTCCGACTCGCATTTTGAATTGACGACCGGAACAATCACGAGGAAGGGAGACCGATGGATAAGGCGAGAACGACATAGGAACAAACAATATCACAGAAAACGAGGAAGAAAGTACAGGAAACGAAACGGATCGTGTCGCCGCCAGCATCACAAGAAAGCTCCCTACTTGATTGCTATCTGAGTTTGTTTTAGCGTTCATAGGTTTTGAAAACAAATATTAAACTAAGGATATTTGAGTCATTTTGATAAAATTTAGGGCAACGAATAAGGTATTTTAGGGCGACAAATGAGCATTGCTATTTGTCTCCCTAAAACAGCTTATTCGTCGCCTTAATTTATATTAAAATTACTTAAATATCCTTGCCTTCTTCTTCCTCCTCTTTGCCTTCAACCGAGTCTCCTCCCTCGCTCTGACCTGTCACAAGCTCACCGGAGACAGAATTTCACATGTCCAGCGTTTGAAAACAGAAAATAAATAAATAGAAACTAACCCTAAAATCTTATTCTTTCTTCGTGTCCCTCCTCATGCTCGGTACCAACAGAAGAATCCGGCAGCAGTGGGTCGGAGAGAAGAATTCAGTAGGACAGAGGAGTTAATCGGCGGCCTCCTTCTTGCGCCTCTGTTTAGTGTTTACCCCTTCTTGCTTTCAATTATTCCAACAATTGTTAATTACTTTTCGACCCAGAGTTATTCCAACAGTTACCTAGTTCAGCTTCTATGAATGACAACTGCACCAAGCCAAAAGAAACGAAACTAGAGAAGGAGAATCATCACCATCAAAGCACGTGCAAGGGAACTTGGGAAATAGTCATTTTTGGAATTTAGTCATTTATATATAGTTTTCTTCTTCCTCCTGCTTTGGATGGACTTCGACAGTAGAAGCAAAGTACCGGCGCCGGTCGGGTTGAGGCGGGCGGCTGTCGAGAGAAGAATCCAATAGTGACAGCAGCAGTGGCAGGACAGAGGAATAGGAGGGACCGGAGGGTAAGAGTGTCAATTTGTTACATTTTAGGGCTATAAAATTTGAATTTTAGGGCGACGAATAGCGATTCAGTACTAAAAACGTTCATGTTTGTTCACTGCAAGTATTTAATTCCATTCATGGTCACTAAGTTACTAAAACATGTCATGTTTGATCACTCTCCGTTAGTTTTCGTTAACCCCTGTTAACGACGTTAATTTTTTGGTGACATGGCTAACAGAAGTGCTTAATCAGCTATTTTTAACCCAACAAAAATAAAATCTGACCTGCCACATCATTAAAATATTAAAATATGCCACATCATTAAAAGGAACCCATGTCCCAACCCTTCTTTTGTTCTCTAATTGACCCGGCCGACCTGAACCTTCTTACTCTTCCTCGCCCCGAAATTATTCATCTTCCCCATCTTTCTTTATCTCCAAATTGGGGATATGGCTAACTTCTCACCCACCCATCTTCTCACTCACGTTCTCTTCAGCCCTAAGCTCATAGACAAAGAAAGAAATGGGGGAAAATTGGAAACCTGCAAAATTAATCTCAAGCAAAAAAATTCGAAGAGGTTGCGAGTCATACAAAGTAGAGTGGAGACGGAGCAGTGGTTGATCATCGTCGAGAAGCTTATCGTCGCCCGAGATCTCCAGGGTGCCAGGATTTGAGTAGGGATTCCGACTTGGTCCTCCTCCAATTACCGACCAAATCATCGTCGTTGCCGACCCCATGCTCGCCGCCAAGCTCCGGTTCAAGAACCACAACAATGGCGAACCTAACAACTTGTCTTCTTCTTTCGACTGCGACCCAGGCGAACCCAAGCAGATCGCCAGTGCAATCAACCTAGGAGAACCCCAGCATCCACCCTCTCTGTCGCAATCGACGAACTCATCCCGATTTATGTTTTTAGCGTTTCAATTTCTGGGTTTTAGGATTTTGATTCGTGTTGTGTTTTGTGGTTTCAATTTCTGGATTTTGGGATTCCGGCGCCGGTTGAAGTTTTCCTAGACGGACTGAGGGATGAGGCTCGATTCCATGGACGACCCCTTTGGTCCGGGTGACGTCGTTAGGTCGGATGATTTCGGAGGAGACGACGGTGGTTCTAGGTATTTCATATTTGTGGGGGCGGCGATGGTTCGGGTGGCCTTCACACGAAAACCTAGCTCTATCACATGCTTTTTTAGTTCGGGCGGGTTAGGTTGGGTTGTGTTGGGTTGGATTTATGATGTGGTGGGTTTAATGGCGTGGTGGGTCGGGTTCTAAGTTTTCTGAGTTAAAATTGGGTGACTAGAGATTTCTATTATCCACATCAACAAAAACTTGACGTTGTTAACAGAGGCTAGCGAAGACTAACAGAGAGTGACCAAAAATGACATGTTTTAGTAAACTTAGTGACCACTAATGGAATTAAATATTTTACCGTGACCAAATATGAACGTTTTTAGTAATCCCAATGAGCAATTTTGCAATTAACCCATATGAATTATAAGTCATTTAGAATGTGTTGACTAAGTCCCTCTTAGGAATGGGTTAGGGTGATTACTTGTTTATTAGTAATCACGGTGGCAACCTCTTTATATACCATTAGATTTCACATTTTCCCTTCTCTTTTTAAACTTATGATCAAGATTCTTTTAGGGTAATTATGGAAATGAAAAAGTGACCACACTCGATTATTCTATATAACCCGCCGCAACCGCCTCCACCACTCCGTCGCACTAATCCCGTTGGTCAGCTACACCAGCCCCTCCCCTCGGCCACCTCCGACGGGCGACGACCACCCTTGATGACAACGAAGCCTACAGCCTGCCACCCTCCCCTCGGCCACCCCGACGACGACGATGCCTACAGTCGTACCCTCCTCTCCGGCTACCCCTAACCACCTGTTGCTCGACGGCGACACCTACAGTCGGCCACCCCCGACGACGACGCCGCCCTATAGCCGGACCCTCCTCTCTGGTTACCCCCAACCACCTCTCTCTCTCTCTCTCTCTCTCTCTCTCTCTCTCTCTCTCTCTCTCTCTCTCTGAGACGCCTGTGGTGGAGGGGTAGAGGACGCCATGGATTATATATATACATATATGGAAGGTAACAAGAGCGAGAAGCAGAGCGGAGGCGGAAGGCAAAACCAAAAAGCAAAGAAATTGATCTTTGTATGCAATGGTAGGGATCTACCATTTTTGTAGTTATCTGCACACATTGACAGCGATCTTTCAATGGTAGTGATCTTTTGGTCGATTGGTATGTTATTTGATCTTGTAATGGTAGTGATCAAGATGAGTTGCACTGTTTTTTTTTTATCTTGCAATGGTATGTGTGTACGATTTTGTTAAGACTGGTATGCATTGGTAGTGATCTACGGCATGGAATGGTAGTGTTCATTGTTAAATGTGCAATGGTATTGTAAGATTTAATTTTATGGAATGGTATTGGTTGCAGTTCTTCGTTGGAGGGAACTAGAAGTGTATAAGTTGTTTAATTCTGTTTTATTGCTTGTGTTTTCTTTGCTAAACATATTGATTATATTGGCAAGATAATTGTGTTGCGATTTGGGAGGAAGAAGATTGATTGAAGATTTGATATGAAGAGAGTAGAAGGATTAGTTTGTATTTTTTGAAATGGTAGTGTGTTTTCGTAGTGGTAGTGTTTTTTGCATTGGTATTATTTTTCTGTATTGGTATTGATTATCATGTAATGGTATTGATTTGCATGTATTGGTATTGATTAAATCTGCAATGATATTGGTGTTTTGTGAAATTGTAATGTTTTTATTTCTCGAATGGTATAGGTGTTTTGTGCAATGATAGTGTTTTTCTAATGGATTGGTATTGATTTATGGTTTGTTGTTGCAACGGTATTAGTTCAACTGAACAATGTCTGACCACATCAATACTTATCAAATCAAACATATATACTGACTACGGACTACCGTTCTTTTATCGGGAGTCCGGTTGCATACGGACTACCGCTCTTTTTTAGTGTCTTTCTTGTAATTGTGTTGACCGGCCATGCCCTGGGGGCTTATCTTGGATAAAAAAAACACATATACCGATAAAGATATGTATAAATCATACTCCTATGACGTCTTATTAAGACCGACATCAACAATATGTCTACCAACACATAACATAACTACAGACAATAATACTATTAAAACACAGGGGCAAGCAAAACAATTCATTTTAATGGTACTGATACTCAACCAATATCAAAGCATGCACATCCTACAACCATTATGCAGACACTCCGCATCCAACTCAATTTCAATATTGAATACCAATCCATCAAAACAGATATACACCAATACCAATGTACACACTACCAATAAAATGTAGCATCACTACCAAAACAATAAGCACCAGAATACCATTCATACCCTTTGTAGTAATCACCGTAACCGCTCCCTCTTGGAACTCCAAGTTTGTCAAACACCAACTAGTTCATATAACTAGAAAGAAAAAATGTTGAGTTTTTTTTTTTTGTCTATTTGATTACCATGGGAAGATTAGTTTTGCGTCATTTATCCATAACAATTTCAACAAGTTTCTCAAATTAGTTTCTTATTGATGCAATCTTTCAGCGTGATCTGAATAAAATCACCATAACATTTAGCCCATGTTTGGCAAACAAATAGACAATGGACTTTCCATCTTTTTTACACTTTGTAACATCTCCCGCTGTAGTGTATACCCGTGGTTAAGAGAGTTGGTATAAACAAGTCATTAGCTAATGAAAGTTTTACGTTGTAGAATATTCTTTCACAATATTGTGTTCAAAGTGAGATATATTCTCTAATTGTGTTTTCAAAAATAATCCATTTTATCAACCATGCCTTAAAGGGGTTTTCGCAACTGTTTCACCCTAAGAGGTACCCAGGGCAAACATTATAATAAATGAGGGCTTCGATTTGGATTTCTTGTCCGATCTCTTCGGGAGGCGAGAAATATGCGAGGAGGGGGCGGCCCCCGGGATCTACACTCCGACGCCCAAATTAGTACGCATATAGATGATAGTGTATGTGCATGTAGAGAGATGGTTTTATAGAGAGAGACCTCCAGTGGTGTCTAAAAATGAGAGGAAGAGAAGGGACCCCCCTGACTTGGAGGGCCTTGGCCTCCTTATATAGGAGTCTTGGGCTTCATTAGTGGGCTTGGACCCGAATTGAGACGCTTAGCGGTGGACTTGGGCTCATTAGTGGCGTATTTGGTTGACGTATTAGGCGGATTAATACACACCCAACAACAACCAACTATTACATTTTAACAATCCTCTCTTAAGAGCATCCACATCAATGGTATTTGCTCAATTACAAATCTTACATGACACTCAATATGCAATTGCAAAGGGGATTGCACCAATGTAGTGGGCAATTACAAATATGCAAGTTTGAATTAAATGAAATTTAAAATGCAAGCCAAATAGGAAAAATAAAATATAATTTTTTTCTCCCTCTTGATTTATTTATTTTATAATTATAAAGTCATTAAACTCTCATATATGCAATTGCAAGTGAATTGCATTGATGTAGGAGCAATGAAATAAAAGTGAGTTGAATTACATTAATTTTGAAATGAAAATATAAAAATAATATGAAATTAGTTTTGCAATTTCATTGATGTGGATGCTGAGCTTCCGCAACCAACCAATATTACTTTTGATTTTATGGGCAAGTTAGTTCCTTGTTCTTATAGATCGGGAGTGGGTTTCTCATCGTCCTTATGACAAGTATTTTAAAAACATATTATTCATTTTGAATAATGAATACCTCGATAATACGATAATAGTCATGTCGTGGTGCAATCTATTGCTACCCATTTGGATTTGATATCTTGAGTGATAAATAAAAGGGGTTCCTCTTATGTAATACAAAAAGGCCACTAAAACATCTTCTCATCTCGCAAGTCAAATTGGAGTATGTTGTTGCACAAGGAGTCATTGCGCTAGGGCTTAAAGCATATGTATTTTGTATTCATTGAGCAAAATAGATTTTAATTGGATAACATTAACATATATGAAAACAATATTGATGTTGTCATAAAGCGCTCATATTATCATTATGAATATACAAAGTAAAGTTGTAATAGCCATCCTATTGCGAAAATTTCCCCATTGTTTTTTCTGGAGGAATTTGAGTCGTGTCTCAATTCTAGTGTGACGGATCATCCTCTCATACCAGGTAGGGGTGGGCAACGGGACGGGACGGGTACCCATATTAGGACTGTACAATCCCAAGTCCCATCCGTTTAAAATATTACGGGTAATATGGGTACCCGTAACCCTTAAAAAACGGGACGGGTACGGGTATACCCAAATACATGTTTCCCGTTGCCCACCCCTAATACCAGGTATTGATCATCTCTTGTAAATCTAAGTTGGTCTCAATACCGATTTCAAGAACATAAGGAATTGAAGAAGCAAACAGATTATGGATATGGATTTCAAATGAAGGGCAATACATCGGGATTGTTTGGATGGAGTATTTGTGTGAGTTATTTGGGTTCAAATAACTCAATCTGTCCTCTCATACCAGGTATTGATCATCTCTTGTAAATTTAAGGTGGTCTCAATACCGATTTCAAGAACATAAGGAATTGAAGAAGCAAAGAGGTTATGGATCTGGATTTCAAACGAAGGGCAATACATCGGGGTCGTTTGGATGGAGCATTCAACTCACACAAATACTCCATCCAAACGACCCCGATGTATTGCCCTTCGTTTGAAATCCAGTATGAGTTATTTGGACACAAATAACTTAAGGAGTCGTTTGAATTGATTGTTTGAGGGTGTTATTTGGGCCTAAGTAACATGTTTGGATGGAATAAAATTGGTGTGTTATTTGGAGTGTGTTATTGTGAGAATAACACATTTGTGGTGTTTGCCAAATAATTGAGGGGGTCAGGTATTGTCCAAACACCACATTCTTGTATTTTTCATTCCGATTCTATCCTCATTATTTTATTGCTAAACCCATACTACCCTTGCTTTATCTGCAACACCTTTTCACTTTCCTTCTCCAAAGAAAAACGAGTATGCTCTTCTGACTTGTCTTTTCGATACCTCTTTTCTTACTGAAACACAAGCAGCTGAAGCAAAGGGAGCATAGTCACCGTCTGATTCTGCGTTCGTCGATGTTGGCGTAGGCTTAGACAACTCGTTTGGTGGTGCTGCGTTCTACGCAGAAAGCATCTGAAGTATCAGGTACGCCTTCTCGTTCTAAGGGAAAATAGGGTTTGCTCCAATCGGAACTTCCCCAATAAAGATCGATCCTTCCTTTTTGCTTCTTTGGAGATTCTGGGTATTTGTTTCTTCTATGTAGTTGGCCAATGAAGTGACCCGAAGTTTGTTCATCTGCTTTCTCTCCAATGGAATTTTGTTTGTTAGCTTGTGATTGCTTGTCTGGGTAATTTGTGAAGGCATTGAACTTGTATGAATGATATAGCATAGGGTTGGATGTTTGGTTCCGTCAATTGCCTGTGAATATGTAACTGATAAAGTGTCTCTTTATTTTTCATATAATAGGGATGACACGCTTACCTACCTTTTCTCCAACACGTAGGTTCATGTGGTAGCAGCAATTAGCTCTTTCATAAACTTGATTATGATTTACGTAAATTTAGGTATGGGATTAGCCGAGCTCATAGAAACACGAAAATCTAACCCAAGCGGGTGGGGTTGGGACCCTATACGCTGCCATATATTGGCTGATGACAAGTCCTTTGATGACTATGTGAAGGTAATTGTTTTTATTTTTTGTTTATTGTATCTTTTAGTTATTGTCAATGTGAATTTTCCATTAAATGTCTCACACTGTATGTTGGGGGTAGTTTCTTAGTTGGTAGGTTTGTATTTATGAAGGCCTTTACATCTATAAATGCTACCACAATTTGCTTTACAAGCTGTATGTGTTTGTTTTACAGGTCCATACACACTGCAAGGGAATGAACAAAAAACCATTTCCACAATTTTGGGCACTCGAGCCAGTGTTTGCCAAAGGTCGTGCTAAACTGCTAATGGTGAAACTGGGTTCATCGGGAATGATGGAAACTCGTCCTATACTAGCGCTGAAGGTGAAGAGCCGCAACCAGAATGCTTTGAGGAGTCTGTCCCTTTTCATGTCGAGGACTTTAACAATGACACTACAGAGGAAGTAATGGCGGATATCATAAATGAAGGGGTTGAAGCTCGTAACTGCAGCAAGAGGAAGCACTCATCAAAGCCTAATTCGACAAAAAAGAAGAAGAAAGGGCAAGCCGATGATAGTACCTCTGAAGTTGTAGCTGAGATGAGAGAGATGAGGTCACTCATAGACCGATCAGCTGAGACGATTGCTCGCGCTTTGGGTGAGAGCGAGTTGCAAAACACTATGCGACTCGATTTGATGAAGAATTAAGAGAAGCTCTGTCTTACCAGTTCTCAAATGGTACTTGCTTGCAGAAGGCTTAACAACATTCTGGGAGACTTAAAGACCTTCTATAATATGGAAACAGAGGAGGACAAGATGACCCTTGTGCTTGATATTCTGTCTATGTGAAGATGTGGTTTGCTTGTCTTAGGATTAGTGATGTCTTTGTCCAGTTTGCAAAGAGTCTTTTGCCTATGTATCTGTCATTATAAAGCACTTGTAATGACAGTCTTTGCAAACCTATGACAAGCATCTATTTTGTAAAGTGCTAGATGGTTTAGAAAACAGAAACTTATGGTAGATATGGTGTAAATGGAATGGAAATGCATATATTTATATAAATTGCAGCTTGTGTTTTTCTTTTTTTAGGGATTGTTGCTTTACTCTGTTGGCGTACGTATGAATCTTTCTAGGATTGTAGCCCCCAGTTTGGCTTACTGTAAATGAATGATGAATGAAGGTAGAAACAAAATATTGAGGAGAAGATGGAGAAACAGAAGCCAGAACACACTTTTGTTGGGAACTCTCGATGAACAAGTGTAGGAAGGGATCAATTGTGTGCTTTAATTTTTTACATCTTTACAAAGGGTAGTTTGGTATTTTCTAAGTTTGTGTACCAAATAGCACATCACAAAATAACACATCTCTAATCCTTCCCAAACATGATATTTGGAACAAATATCATATACCAAATAACAAGTATTTGGCTATGCGGTATTTGCTAGGTATTTGGCCTCAAATAACAGGTTTTTCAAATCATCAATAACGACCCCTTAATTGGCAGCATTTTACGGAAATGAGTTATTTGGACAGTGAGTTATTTACTATTTGAAATAACTCATACCCATGTGTTATTTCGAAATAACTCATTTTACCACTCTGCTTTTACCAAATACCACATGTCAAATACCACAACTAAACGAAATACTTTATTTTAATTACCACTAAAATAACATTGAGATACCATATGAACAATAAACAAGTTATTTGACTCTACAAATAGCAAATTAACAATTAACCCATACAAATGACACGAATAATCTGATACAATGCCCCTTTGGGGAAGGAATCGATAATTGGACGGAAAGCGAAAAATACGAGAAAATGTGACCAGAAACACTTAACGGGTCGTTTGCTTCATGGATTTGAAAAATGAGGGTTTTGGTAAAACCTGGGTTTTGGAAAACCATGAATATATGATGGGTTTGGTGGCATTATGGATTTAAACAAGTCTATTGTTTACTTGTTGGATTTGATTATGGATTTTGTTTGAATAGATTTGTGGATATGAAATACAAATTATCTTGTTACCCTTATCTAATTATATTTCTATATTATAATCCAAAAATTTCATTAAAAAAAATCCAACGCATACAATGAAATTTTAAACGCTTTACCACTATGTGGACTAATAATTCAACTACAAATTTAGAAATGTATTACAATTTGGCTCTAATTAACAACTCATCTAATAATGTATGCAATATGATGTATCAATTGCAATTAAAGTTGCATGACCATTGAATTAAAGTAGGACAACTTTGTAATTAAAGTAATAAGTAAGGGTAGAAAGGTAATTACCATCATGAATTTTAATCCATCACCCAAATCTCACCTCAAGAGGTGGAATCCGTGGGGTCCACAAATTTGAAACCCCAAAAAAAGCGGGACCCACAGATTCCATCTTCCTAATTCCATAAGGCAAACGATGGATTTTTGTTAAAGTTCATGATGGATAGATTTCCATGACCAAATCCATCATCAAAACCCTCAAGCAAACGACCCGTTAACCCTACCCAACGGAACATGCTTCCTACTTTACTATTGATCTCAACAGTCATAACTTTCTTCTTCTTCCTTTTGTTTCTATTTATGGGCTCTATTCTTGAGCTTGAATCCCTTTAATAGATGCATATTCCTGTAGTAGCTTAATTGTTCTAAGGAGAGAGTCGTTTCTGCTCAATCTCTTTAGCAGCATTAACTTCAGTATGATCAGAAACAACTATTTGCTACATCCACTCAAGTGGATTCTCGGCCTCACGAGCATGAGCAGAGATCTCTAAATAACAAGTGTCATTGAGCGTCTTTAGTTTAGTCTTGAACTCTTTCAACTGACCGTAAAAGACTTGATTTTAGAAGCCCTCTACAACACTCCCCAAGCCTCTTCAAGCGTTTCTAAGGATTGAGGGTGATACCTCTAAAATTTGAAATATTTGAAAGGTTTCATCAACGAAACTACTATTAGCGAAGAATCAGGAAACAAACTGCAATGGTTTGATATCCCAAAGGGAAATGTCAACTGCAGTATTATTGGAGAACTTATCAAGCCACTCATCATTCACTAGAATACGATTAATCCTGCTGGCAATAGGGTTTGTCGACTGCTTATTCAACCAAGTAAACCAAGATAACAACTATGCATTTAGCTTCTAACGCTCAAGGACCTTGTGGACTATATACTGTTGTCAGGAGCCAACGCTATTCACCAACAATCTACACTTGTATGAAGTACTCACCCATAACAACTTTACTAACCTTCAGAAAAGCCTTCCCGTACAACCAAGCTGAGAATGCAGATTATTATCCATATGAGGCCATTGACTAAACTAATGACCAAGTACATCTAGACATCATTACTAGCAAGTACTCACGTTTCTAATATAACAGCAAAATCAATATTTGATCTATATAATCGTGCATTTACATACCTATGTTTCTGAGGAGCATTGAAGCCCCTTGGAATCCCCAACAGAGGAACTTCATTTACCACGCTTTTCGCCTCCCTTTCCTTAGAGAGATTGAAGTAACTAGTGTTTCACCCTTCGTATTCGGTGGAATGCGAGAACTTGCAACAAAAATAAGAACTTTCTTCAAAGGCACAAACAAAGACCCGACCATCTCGACCCCAAAATCGCGAGCCCATCAAAGAATTTTATGGATGCTCGACGACGAAGAGAAATAGCCCAACCAACACATTACGGGAACTCGTTCCCTCATCACGAATAGAAGTCAGAATCACCAAATCCCTGTCAACAAGAGTCTGAGGCACATACTCTAGTCGATGTTCGAGACCAACTCCAAACAACTGGACTCTCCAGTTAGAACGAATTTAGTGACCTAAATGATAACTTAAAAAAAAATCTACTGGAATAAAACTAAACAAGCTATCCCTAATCCCTGCCTGCATGCTGCATATAATAATCTATGCCATCGAGGACCAAACCATTTAATCCTCCTACAGGACTGGGCTTGCAATGTAGAAAGACACTTGCAATTACGAAGTCTTAACATTTAACAATGAAATAGCATAACTCTCAACATTTAACAACGAAATAGTAAGTTTTCATTATACCTCATTTTTGTTGAGGTTTCAGCGTCAACAACACAATAGTTATTTTTATGTGCAAGCCTATAGACAACAGAGAGAATGTTCATACTCTCGACAAAAGCATGGAGGCGCCACAACCCCTCCTCAACTATCAACTGGCTACCTTATATTCCATTGAGTGTCACCACAACTTTTCGTGCAGTAGGGTAGTCACGATGCTCGCACAACCATATTCCCTGAACAGAAAAGAAGATAGACATGGTTCAATTTTAGTCTGTTTACTTACAGTTCTCATTGAAAGCAGAGAAATTAAGTGGTTCTGGAACTCGAAGGAAGGAGAAGAAGAAAAAATAGATCCTAGGGATTGCTCTGTAACCTGCCTGGCTATGCTTACTCGTCTGTATTTCTAAATAGAGGACATTCATAAAGTAAAGCAAGCAGTAGCAACAAAGCTTCTGGGAGCAGTCAAGGTTCATTGTCGCGTAATCTAATCTTATGGTCTGCTGCAGAGGTAAATCTACACGTTGCTCACTCCAGGAGACCATGGAGAAACATAACAATAATTATTCTAACAAAACGAGACACCAGTAAAGAACAAACAATTAAAAGAAGTAAAATTGAGTATCGGCAGACCTGCCATGTGCCCATATTCAGCTTTCCATTTGTGATTGGGATCCTGCACAAAGAACAAGGCCAGGTAAATTGAAGAACCAACAAAACATGGACATCCAAAATCAACAGTCCAGACTGGAGGGTTACTCACGTGAGAGCGCAGCCAAACATTGATGATTTAATGTGTGCGGGCATGTCATCTGGACCTGAGAACATCCCACACGGCAAAATCAGTTACTCCAAACTTGAAGTAAAGCAGTGAACGTCAAGATAGATGTAGGCAGCTTGGTTCAAAACACGAATTAAAGTAAAAAGACAGCAAAAGATGGGTTATGGAACCAAATTATCATGACAGCTTGTGTGAAAGGGGCAATGGTGAAAAATGCAGGGAGATTGTAATCCACTAACTTCACATTCAGAATCACCGAGCTTCACTTCTTCTATGTGAATGCAAATAAAAATTTCCCAGCTTTTGCAACTTTGAATGGCTCAATAAAATAGCAGTAAGCAATGACTTCACTAGCCGTCAGGGACTTAAAGACGCACCTTCAAGTGTATGTCTCCAAGGAGCGGAATTCCCCTATGAAGGATAAAACCACAACCAAAACAAGCCAGAGGAAAGGGAAACAAAATAAGAGGGCAGTAGCAACAGCTGAAAAGACCCCAAAAAAAAAAAAAACAACAACTAGAGAGAAGGCAAAGAGTAAAAGGGGAACCTCGGGGACTATGGTGTTGAGGAAAGTCTCAGTGTCAGCCCGAACGTCAGTGTCGTAATTCTCATTGATGGTAAGCGAAGCACTGGTATGGTGCACTGTAAAATACAATAACAGGGAAGAAGCATAGCTTAATAACATAACCAGTTCTACGCAAATGGTAGATGAGGGAAACGAGTATGTTAGACTTAGACTACTCACGGAATAGATGAGCAAGGCCACAGCTGAACTGAGATAGATCAGGCTCAATCTCTTTCAAAATCTGGAAACAGAGAAGGAACCCTAGGTGATCTCAAATCAAGGAGACAGAGACCCGAATATAGGAAAAGAAATTCAAAGATTGGGCGAGGCAAGGAAACCTTTGAAGTAATAAGATGACAGCCTCGCCGCTGCGGAGGAAGGGTGATGGTCTTCTGAGCCCACTTAGGGGCCGCCGGTGGAGCAGCCATGGAGCTGTGACCTCCGCTGTCCAGGGACAGTGATCCGGGAGCTGAGTAGACTGAATTCACGCGCACCGGTGCACGGAAACGGCGGGGACGTAGTAGAATCGACGGCGACAAGGAGACGGCGACCGAGTGTCTTGGTGGTGTTGAAGTGGAAAAGAATACCAAGGGAGCGGTGGAGGCCGCCATTCGTATTGATTATTGAATAATTGATTGCCTCGGCCGGATGATGCTGCCTGCCGCTTGCGGGCCTTCCTATCGTAGCCCACGGCTAAGTCCACTGTCGCAAACTCGAACCACACATTTATTTAGAGGTCGTTTGCTTTTGGTATTTTGGTGTTGGGTTTTGGCCCAAATGAATCCATGTTTGTTAGCATATAATGGATTTTGTTTCAATCTGTGGGGTCCACTAATATTGGATTATTTGGAGCTAAAATCCATGGGCCCCATGGATTATAAAATCTTACCTCTATAGCTAGGATTTTGGAAGATAGATATAATCCATGATGTTTAATGACCGTGTTACCCCCACTCATGTTGTGTAATTCAATTTTGCCCTCGGTTATTATTATCTCTACTGAGGACTTTTGTCTACACTCTCATCTCACCAACTTTGTCTCTTCGTTGCCAAGGGATTGCAACACAGCAAAAAGCTCCGGCAACCTTTTCCATCTCTGCCTATCGTCGTTTTGTCTTCCTTTTATATGAAGCTCAACAATTAATTATTTCATGCTTACATCCTCTTTTTTTATAATCCAATCCAAACCCTTGATTTTCCTTTCGACATTAATGGTTTGGGTTGAGAGTTTCAATTTACTTTAATGGCTTCTTGCGTGTATACAATATGACCAAATAGTATGGATGTTGCTGCCATTTTTACATATGCTAATTCTTCATGTATATACAAAAACATTCAAAATACAAGTAAAGTAAAAAGTGGTTCATTAAGGATAAGAAAGTAATTTCCCCCATCAAGCCATAATTCCAACCTACTAAAAGCCATTACCAAATCCTACAAACAAACATGGAAGTTTCAAAATCCAACATAATCAAAATCCAACATAATCTCTCATATTCAAAATCCAAGGTTTTATCATAATCCCTCATTTTCTAAAATCCTAGAAGCAAACGACCCCTTACAGTCAATTACATTGTTAGTGTTGCTTGGTTTTTTTAACAAATTAGCACTCAAATTTGGAATTTGGAACAAGTGAAAATGTCAAACGATCTAATTGGCCACAGAATTCATTTTTAGGTTATGTATAGGGCTGGAAAACGGTCCAGTTCGTCGAGACCATACCGTATATACAGTAAATCAGTCTGCAAACAAAACCAGAACACGAATCGAGTATCAACCATATGCTCCTATATGGTTTGCTCTGCTCAGCCATACTGCAAACTTCTCCCTCGATTGGTGCGTGTTTCTCTCCTCATACTATCTTAGGTTGGCTCCCTCTTGTGTTTCGTTAACAAAAACCACGACCAATATCGTATTGTTGTGCATAAATGTTTCGCGCAAACAAATGTTTGGGACGCTTTGCTATTACTTGGGTGTTCATCATAGTATATACCTTATCATGTTGCTGCAAATGGAAACATCAACATTCTTTAAACTCTGTTGTCAATTCCAAACTCCAACCTAAAATTGTATGTGTACGGCCACCTACAGCTAAAAAACATCCCAGATTATAGAAACAGAAAGCTTCATAATTTGCTGAGACGAATTAGCAATTCAAACCGAAAAGCTTCATGATTTGCTGAGACAAATTAGCAATCCAAACTGAAGATCGATTTACCTCGTGCATATACTGCAATAAAAGGTGCACAAGTACGTACATACATAGAAGGCATAGCATATTACTATATGTAGTTATATTCATATATATTTTCATCAGCCTAGGACCACAGGATTGAGAGGATACATACACACGACACCACAGAGAAAAAGATTACACCAGACATTCTGAAAGGCCAGGAGAAGATTGGAAGACGGAAGTAGAGTAGGTTAGGTAATAGGGTTAGACGACCGACCACTCTATCCTACTAGCAGAGGAACTTCCCAAATACAGAAGGAATAGCAAATGCCTCGAGACAGGGAAATGACTGACAACTTCGTGCTCTTCACTTACTCGTGCCGAGCATTATCTCGCGCCTGCCTTCTCTTGAGCTCCTTACCCTCCTATAGTCAATTTCTGCATCCGAGCTTGACAGCCCCGCGTGATATTTTCTGCTGCCTTTCGAGGAAGCATTCCTTGAGAATATGCCCTCGTTGCCGGATAGGTTGTATCTGGGAGGCGTACTTGAACCGGAGATGTTTCCTGGCTGCATTCCTGATATAGGATTCGAGAAGCAAGGAGATTGTTGGTTGGACTACTTTGAAAATGACAAGACGGAACCAAATCCAGGACTACATGTGTTCAAGTTCAAGAGACGTCCGACTTGAGTGAAAACACTACATTGCCAAGGAAGGATAACCAGGTGTTCATGCAAAGCACCGATGATGCTCAAGAAAAGCATACCCTTCATCTATTTCACTACTTGACTTACCTGTATGTGCTTTACCAAATGCTACCAGCAATTCAAGACTTCTAACATAATGACACCCACCCTACCAGTATAGACGACACCATTGAAAAAGGAAAACCGGAGCAGGTCAAGGCATAGTTTGAGCTAACCTTTGTATCTATCAGAAGAGAGAACTTCACAGCCTTCTTCAGTATTCACATCGGGTTTCGACTTCAGACTCTGTTGTCTTGGCAGCTTTCTCTGTGTTCCTAATAACTTCTGGCTTTCACTCTCGTTCACATTTTCTGAGACATCTCCAAAGTTACTTTTGCTTGAAGTGAACGGGTTCATGGTGAAGGAGTCATCCATGACATCAGATATCTCCACATATTGAGTAGTAGTGATGATCTCATCAGCACTGAACCCAAAGGATGCTCTGTAAGCTTCTACTTCTTCAACATCTTGCTTGGGACTCTTGTTATTCCTACTGTTTGTATGCCCATTCGAAACAGTAGGATAGACATCTGAATCTTTAGAAACACTCAACCTCCCAGCAGTATGAGGGAATAGTGGATTATGGTCCAGGTAGAATCTTGCAAATGTATCAGGACAGAAGAAATTGGAATCTTGAGACACCATGGAGGGAGAAGTACGATCGTGCCCACAAAGCCTCCCAGAATCACTCCTCGAGCACTCACCATTTTGTGGGGAAACAGAAGGATCCCAATGAGGAGGGAACTCTCGTTCGGGGAAGGATGATGACAAACAGTCATGCGAGGGCTTTGATTTAGGTGAAAGAAGACTGCTGGCAGGACTTCCGGGATAGAGTGCATAAGCCGCCTGCAGATCATTTGCAGCAAGATGATAACTGCCCTTTCCAGAGCTTTTGAATTTTGCAGAGGATGAGAGAAATTGGGCAAATGGCACGTCTGGGGAAGAAGGTGTGGTTAAGTGAGCCAACTCAGGAGGAGGAGTTAGAGGAGCAGTGGAAGGCTCAGTTGTGTAAGTGGAGAAAACAGGAGGGGAAACCAATTGTTGCTCATGAGCATAAGGCCCAGTGGCAAACATAGTCGAGGAAGGGCCGCCAGGTGAGTTGGCAGATAAGGAGAGAAAGTTATTAGGAGACTGAGCAGTAGAAGGGAGACCAGAATTTGAAAATGACGCTGGTGAAGAAGGTGGAGCTAGAAGGGAAGGAGATATTGTGGTAGCTTGGTTGGCCATCCCAGCTGCTTGATGAGGTCCATTAGGCTGAGTAACGGAAGCATTGCCATCAGGAATTCGAGATGCAGGGACAATTCTTTTCCCGCCTTTCTGAGCACCAAAACAAGACAAGGATCCCAAGCATCCTCCCCATCTCTTTCGCTGCAAAATATAAGCAAAATAATTACTAATATAAAATAGCTAACTCCCAAAACTTCATAGTTCAGAATTTGCATTGTCATTCCCCATGATTTGAGCTGTGAAATCTTCGGCAAAACCAACAAAGACGAGCTAGACTCACTGCTCGACCAGATAGTATACCTGCCGTTTCCTTGGACATGCAATGGTTAAACGTGGAAACAAAGACAGCATTCCTCAAGGAATATACAAACTTAGAGACACTTTAGTCTGCTTGTAAAAAGTGGAAGCCTGTCCATGCATGCTGGGCCTAATGCTTATGTGCAGATGGATGAGTGGATGTGCGGTGAGAGAGAGAGATCAAACATTGCACCAGCACGTTATACAGCTGAAACATTAAGACAATGGAGCTACCAGAAATCTATTTAATTTACATATGTTTCCATAGAGTAGCATCTTCTACTCGGATTATAAAATCAGTGTATAGATTCCTCAAAAGATATTACACAATAAACCTGAAATTTTCCCTGGCGTACTTTCTTGAGCTAGACCACCCACTAGATATCAAAATTTTGGGTCGTAACTCGTAAGATAGGGCAAAACTATCTTAGACAAAGTCACAAAGCATAGACAGCGAAATGCAAGGCATTGAATTCATTGCATACATAGTTTAAAATGGCAACTGAGAAATCACCACCGGAAGCTAATCAGTTGCAGGCTAATGCAGAACACCCTCTCATCTTCAACAGGAGAAGAGGGTGGGAGAAAATTCCAACTGCACTATAGTTTTAGTTGGGAAGCAAGCTAGTAGCAAGTAGTCTAGGTTCTGCTGAAGAAGCTACAGTCAGGATGACAGGTAGCATCACGCATGCGTACAAACATCCATATCAGGCCAAGTTGCTCAAAACAAAATTGTGACACAACCCAAGTAATATTTTCGTCTCTTTGTTGTTGTTGTTTTGTTCCTGTTCCCATCACACTTGGGGAACGCGTAGGGTTTCTTTAGAGGGAGGAGGATGTGTCTGTTTGCAAGAAAACACAGAAACAAACGGGGGGAAATACAGAATTTAGAAGCAGGAACTTGAAAAGGACACAGGAGCGTTGGCTTCTCCATGAAAATGGAGGTCGGAGAGGGGAGATGATGAGGAGTTGGGTTTGTTCCCATACCATAATACTAAAAATTCCATCTGACTGAGCCAATCAAATACCATCACGAAATTGCAGCAAGACGGCGCCGGTGATACATTATAAACAGTGAACACCACCACCTCAGGAAACAATGCAGGGAGAGCAGATTATTCACATCCACATTGCAGTAAACAGGACAGGACCCATAGATCTGAGGCTGAAAATTAAATTCCCAAACCACACTGCAGCCCCAAAAGGGGCTTAAAGCAAAACAAGCACCACAGTCCAGATCCAGATCTGACCAGCAGAACAGCTCAAGAAAAGCTAGGTAGAAAGAGGGCATACCCGTTCTTGCAGAGGGAATCGATTCTGCTCCGACCCCATAATCGTCTTCCGAAGTCACAATTCCAAGTTGCCGCCAAGCAAGTAACTTCTTCTCCTTCTGGGTGAGTGTTACTGTTAAGGGAAAGAGCTTCTCGCACTGCACTACTTTGTGGAGGCGGCGGCTCCTGCTGCTCCTTGGAGCGCTTTATCTGAATGGTGAAAGTCCTAAAAGGTCGAGTGAGTGAATAGTAGGAGGAGAAGGGGTAGTAGAAGCTGATCTTTGCCGCCGCAAACCGACCTCGCAGTGCCTTTTACTACCCTCCCAGCTTCACTCGCTTTGCTTTATACACTTTTTGTGTGCTTCTTGCTTTCTTCACCTGTCGGAGTTTGTTTTCGCGATCCAAAATGGAGCTTAGATCATTACAGACATTGAAAGCACATTACGAAGGAGAAGAAATTTTATGAGAAGAGGGTTCGAGTTTCATCATCAGGAAGAAGAGAAAGGGCCTCAAACGCACTAACTCCCTTGCCTGCTTGCTTCCCCGACTTTTCCTCCTGCGCAAACCCACGATTGTAGATTTATCAATGTTTAGTGAGTCTGGGATTAAATGGTTGGTTTGGAAGTTGCGATTGTTTGGTTGAGATTGTTATTATGCATGTATTGTTTACCATGCATCGTTTTTTTGTTTTTTAGCAGAAATAATACATGGATTGTTTCTGTGATGTGACAGAAGCTATCACTTTTTTTGAGTGATTGTTATATCTCAACTTTTAGTTGTGATTGTTGAGATAGTTGAATTGAGATTGTTTTGTCTCAGCTTTTAGCTGATGCGACATACACAATCACACATACCAAACGTTGTATTCTACAATGCATCAAATTCGACAATACATGTATAATATTATATATACATTCTCAACAATACATCTATTTAAAAATCGCAACTTCCAAACTACTAGTTAAAGTAGAATACTATGTATTATATATATATATATTTTAATAATGTTAACTGTTAAGGTTTTAAAAAATGAAATAGAATACATGTATTATTGTTTTATGGATCCACCAACAATTACTATTTTTATGGGTCCATCAACAATTACTGAAAATCAGTGATTATCAATCTCTATTAAATAGTTAATGGTGAGATTGTAACCACATATTGTCTACCCAACTTTTCATTATAACAAAAACAAAATCTAACATCTATTTAATCAACGCATCAAATTACAATACATAAATTGATTAAATGCATCAATTTGTAGAATCTTAACCTCCAAACCAGTTTTAGACATACGCCTATACATGAGTCACTTTCTTTTAATAAAAGGCTTGTATGATTTCGTTGAGAGGAAATAATATATAGGAACTAAAACGATTGGGGTCTAGAAGCCCAATTATACTGCTAGTCTCAACTATAACCGGTGTGCGCCATAATATGGGCCACCTGATTGGTAGCGAGACCCGAGAACTGGACTGAAACTGACCCCAATCGCTTATACTATCTTTTATCTCCTCACATAATTCTCCCTCCTCAAACAAAGACATTTCCTCCCTCTGCAACAACTGAATCACCCTCACGCAATCAATCTCAATTTCTCTCGACAATAAGTCATATTCCTCCGCCACTTCTAATCCAAACCGAATAACTTGAATTTCAACTAATTTTGGTGTCCACTTCACCCTAGATCCCCTCACAGCCACAAATCAGAAAACCTTATCCTCGTCCCTAACCACCACTCTGAGGCTCGTACCAGCTCCCTCGAGACATGCAACATCAACATTTATCTTAAAAATTGTTGTCTCTGATGGCTTCCACCTGTATTCACGCTTGTGATTCTCCATTGATCAAGCTTGATGATATTCCAGGTATGCCAGAATCCAACGTTTTTCTTTGACTATTATCTCAAACTCTTCAAGTTTCTTTTTATTCCATAAATGATTGTTCCTCTCCTCATCGATGAACCAGAGAGCAACAAGGAACCAACCAATTTGATCATCTCCTTTCAACACCTGCAATTCAACCATCCTTTCTTCACAAGTACAATCTTGACCCTTTGAAAATAGCTTTTTGTAGGAGCTAGGTCGCCATACCCGTCTTACTTAGTCAGAATCTTGAAAAATATGCCTCTCAGACTCCTTTTGACTGCAGAAGGGGCATTCATCATGGCCTTTTTGAATTCTATCCACAATATTGGCTCTTATTGTTAGAACCTTATTTTTTTTATATAAGAGTGATATAGGTTCATTTTTTGTAGTTTAGATACTATTTACAGGAATCAAACCTGGGAACTATATGTTCAATACTAGTGGTATTACCACTAGACCAAGCCTTGTTCGTATTGTTAGAACGTTCTTAGGCCATTTCCAGGAGAAGACTTTAATCTTAGGAGGAAATTTTGAGCTCCAGAGCCTGTCCCAGTCAATTGGAGTATAAAGCTCCCCATTCTCTATGTCTCGTTTTTCTATAGGTAAATGGTAGGCTGATTTCACTGAGTAATTGCCCAGCTTCTCCAAACTCTATTCTCAATTATCCTCTTTCAGTTGTCTAGGGATTGGAATTTTAAGGATTTTATGTCGATCTTGAGGTCTAAAGCGAGTATGTTGAATCACCTGATTTCACGTTCTTTTTTTTAAGTCCAACAAGTTATTCACCGAGGTAGATGAGCCAGGGATACAAGTGAGTCCACTTTGTAAATTTCATATATGGGCACCTATTTATCCAGCCATCTATCTACCTTAACACCGTTTCCAATCTTCCATCTTAGGCCCTTCATCACCAAATCCTTGGGTGCCATAATGCTTCTCCAAACATTGCTTGGGTTATAACATTCCAGAAGGTCTCGATTAGGAAAGTACTTGACTTTCATAACCCGAGCTACTAGAGATGTAGGTGTTGTATAAAGTTCTAGATTTGTTTGCCCAACAATGCCAGATTGAACTAATGAAGACTTATATATCACAACCCTAATTTGATTTCCTAGAGCATAGTTCTTGCCAACTTATATAGTGTGTTCTGCATTATGAATTATTCTGCCCACACCAACAATTAGATAATAAACTCTGAATTTCTTGTATGACCGAGATGGGAACTAAGAAAACTTGCATGACATAGATTGTCTGAGCTTGGACTACAAATTTAATAAGAACCTCCTTCTCTTCATAAGAGTGCAACTTAGTTTTCCACAACTTTCTTTTGTCTTCTAGTAACTATAGGCATTCCAAAATAGTTAATGTGATAATCCACTATTTTCATGCCCATGAGAGCAACTAGACCCTCTGTCTTACTAACTTCAACATTATGAATAAATGAAAGCTCTAATTTTGCCAAATTAACTTTTTTCCCCGACTCTTCCTCGTAGAGGGTAAGAATCGCCTTTAGATGTTCACATTCAACTTTAGTGACACCTCCTAGAAAAACTAAGCAATACATGAGTATCGAGTACATGTTGCATCTGCAATAAATAATACCATGCTAGAAGATCAAAGTACATCACTTGGTTTATAGTGATTAATGTTCCTGAATGGTTGATGGGAGAAGAAGGAAAGATTTTAGAAGAAGAAGAAGAAGAGGAGGAGGAGGAGAGGAAGCAATCAATTTTGGTGTTGTTTTCGTTACAGTACATGTCCCTTTTATATAGTCTGGTCAATTACAAAAAGCACTAAACTAAAACCTTTATGACAACGAGTACCAATCGTGACAATTTTATCCACTAAAACTGGACGATTTTTCACCTTCATCAAGTAGCAATTGTGTTTTTTTTATCTCGTTGCACTCTCTGTTGGCGCCAGCTCAATGATCGGAGCAGTGGTGAAGGTTTTTTTTGGTTCGCTTCCCGTCTATGAGTTTTAGAGTTTTGACGTCAATCCCTCTCTCTCTCCCATGTTTTGATATTTTGTTCTCTTTGTGCAATCGTCAATCCAAGAGAGATGAGCAAATCAACCAATAGAAACCAGCAACAACATATTCAAATACCAAACTCGTAACGACAACACACAACTCCTTTTTGTGCATAAACGTCTCGTTTGCTATTTACAGAAACGGGAGATCCTTTTGCACCAATATCATGGTTGTGATGGGGAATTTGATTTGTGGTGTAGGGATAAGGCATAGGTAGGATGATCGTATTTGTCCGCAAATGGAAGCACTAACTGGTTTTGTTAGAAAATAAAGTAGGAACCAAACGGTTTGAAACCCGTATAAAAATCATAATTAACCTTCTCCTAACAACTTGATTTATTGGAACCAGTTGGTTTATCACGTGGTGCCAAAACAGGTTTGACCAAGTGGACGTGTGTTCAAATCTTCACGATCCTCAATATTAAGTAGTAACTAGTTGATCTACCCAACACTATGTGGCTCTAGGAATGGCTTCTTATAGAGAGGAGTTGATGCATAAAAGTTGGGAGTCAGCCATCCATGAAAGAAGTGCACACTTGGAGAGAGAAACCCTCATTTGATGTTTTTGACAAACATGTGAGAAAGAAAAGCACTTCATTTAATGCTTTGGCAAACTTATCTCTCTCACTCCATCAACTCGTCTCTCTTTTTTCATTTAATTTTTTATTTGATAACCCAGGAACATCAGCAACCCACATGCCATATGAGTGACAGCGAAGCCTACTAAACCTGGGGTATCTGCATACTAACCATCAAGGACTTTGTCCCGGCGCAGTGCTCGGCATTGTGCTACCGTCATCGGGGAGCTCGGTCTCCTGTACCAAGGTTGTCTCCAAGAACACCAAGAAGGCGGTATTGGGATTCGAACCTGGGACCTTGTCACATCCCAAGCCCGAAACCCAACCCTCTACCAACTAGGTTGTCTTACTTTTGACCTCTCTTTTTTCATTTAATGAGCACTTAGTTTCATGTTGTTCTAAAGTAGTATCCAAGTTTAGATGAAATTGTATTCAAATTGTGATGAACGGGTATCATTCTCTTATGAGGTAATATTCAAGTTGTGATGAACAATTAGTATTCATATTGTTCTGAAGTAGTATGCAAGTCTAGATGAACTAGTATACATGTTGTCATGAACCGGTATTTAATTTGTGGTAAACTAGTATTCATGTTTTTTTGAAGTAGTATTCAACTTGCAATGAACTAGTATCCATGTTGTTCTAAAGTAGTATTCATGTTGTGACGACTAATATCCATCCTGTCATCAGCTAGTATCAAGGTTGATGGGTTGGCATCAAATGCCAATTTCTCTCACTAGCTTACTTCCCCCCAAAATCATCCATACGTGACTAACTACATCAGTTGGTTTGACTTCTCACAAATGGGCTCAACTCCTCTCACATCTGAGCCCTTCCCAAATCCATCCATTATGAGACGTCGATTTTGACTAGTGAGGATGGGGCGACCATCTCAGCCGTGTGAGCACTTGCTCACAAAATACCCTGTGAGCACAATAACTAAATTGCACCCCAACAGTTCATAACAGAATCCGATCTATAGTTGAGTGTAGAGTGTACCGCTGTGGAGATGTAGCAGGTGAAATCAGTCAATGATCACTTATGTATAAGATATTTGTTTAATTGATCACATAACTAATTCTACTAACTAGATGGTTACCAAAAGTAGAACATTTTTACTAAAGAAACGATCATCAGTTGGTTTTCTTTTTCACCATCAAATTATGTTATGCATGCACTTATCTGAGAAGTTGGAGAAGTGGCTGTGAATATGATGAGCAAGTGAATTAGACTATTTTCACTTCATCTACAAATTCAAATTGACTTCAAAGGAGCAAAGAATCCTTAAATTGAACATAAGCTAACTTGTTCGACTATTGAACGAAGTGTAAGTTGATCTCATGTGGAGTACTCGAGGATTAATCTTTTCAGACCCATGAATAGTTTAAGGAAAATGAATTTATTGTCGGCTAACTTTAAACAAATCCTTTTGTTCCTTTTTGAGTAAAAAGTAGGAAGATATTATTATTGGTCGAACATAATCGTCGTCACACCTTTTGTTATCTACATTGTTTTCATCTCATTTTTGCTTCTTGATGTTGTTTGTCACGTATCTTGACCTCCTTCTTTCGTTTGTTGTTGGTCGCACCATTTTTCTTTTTATGAAAACTTTATTATATTAAAAAGAAAATATCATCTTTACAACTTCATACCTACCTAGCTCAAAGCCACACTTGACAAATAAAAAAAAGTGTTACCAAAATAAAATTCAGTTAATTTCCAACGATAATAAATTTATTCTCTTTTTTCAGCCTCATTCCAGGGTCTTTCAGAAGAACTTTCGACATTTACCTCAAGCACTCCTTTTAGTCTGGGGTTTTGGTGCCACACTCATTCTTTGGGAACATGCCAAAACCCCAACCGTGAACGGTTAGGAGACCCTCTGACACCGAAGTCAGATACTAGTTCCAAAAATTAGTGAGATACTTGACCTGCCAGCACTTTCCATAAAAAAAGTCGGGTGTCATGGATCTAGGCCTACGTTGTAGGATTTGCTGAAGTCATAAGGGTTTCATCGTACCTCCTTAAGGAACGGTTCTCGTGTCTTCTGGTAGGACTTAGTGTAAATTTTAGGGGATTTCCCCGCCTCATTTGAGGAATTTTTGTATGGTATCATCTCTTAGAACGAGCCTTCTATAGCAAGGAACTATGACGACCAAAGATTTTACGAAGCTATGAAGGGATTCTCCCTACCTCTTCGAAGGATTTCTAACATGTCTGTCTCGTCAAAGACACGAATTGGCATACATGATTTGATGGAGGTTGTGGAGATTCACTCTGTCACTCACACCTTAAGGGCACAAACCTAGTGAATGATTAAGGAATTCAGACTACATCCTTTAAGTATTTGCTTGGATGATAAGGGGTTCCACCCCACCTTAGATGAGGATTTCATGCCTCCTTGAAGTGCTTTAAGCCCTGCGAACTAGGTCTCTCATGATAGTAGCTTAGAATTAGAGCTTTGGTTGTGTGATATAGGACATCACTAGGCCTGTCCAACCGGTTTTGGGTTTTCGGGTTAAACCGAACCCGAACCGAAAACACTGAAGTCGGGTTTCGGGTTTTCGGTTTCAAACCGAAGCAACAGTTAGCGGTTCCGGTTTTTCAGTAACCCGAAAACCGATTAAAACCCGAAAAACCCGAAAGATCTTAGGGTTCGGGTATCTCCTTGCGAATTGCGACAGAGGGGAAAGAAGCAGAATGCTGGCGTCGAGCATATTGGAACAACAGAACCCAACCTCGGTGGGGAGAGGGGAAATAAGTAGAACCCTAGCGTCAAGGTTCCAGTGGAATTTTGGTCGACGGAGAGCTTCTCTGTGACAGATTTGTTGTTGGTGGAGGCGGAATCAAGGATCTATGTTTTTTGCAGGAGACGGCTAGCTCTAGCAACGACAGTAGAGGAGGATGGCGATGTTGTTGCTGGCGGCGGAGTAGAGAAGGATTGTGGTGTTGTTGTCGGCATCGGGCTCCAGCTTCAACGAACATGACGATCGGCGTGAGGGACGGGATGATTCTATGGAAGGTAGTGAAGTTGAGGGGCGGGACAATTCTAGGGAGGGATTGAAAGGCCGAGGGATCGGAAAACGGACAGGTGAGTGTTTGCTGTTGCCCCTCGTTTCTGTTCTGTGATTAATTTAGTTTCGAATTTAGCATCTGGGTTTTCGCTGTGTTTGTGCTTAGTTGTGATCTTGAATGGAAGTTTTTGACTCTGAACAGATGGTAGGGCTGAAGGGTTGGACTGAATAACATTGTTTTCAGCATCTGGGTATTGCTATTTCATCTGTGTTTTTGGTATCTGCTCAAGGAATCAAGTAGATTGCTCGCAGATGTGCAGACCACAGTGCTCCAAAAATCCAAGCTACAAATATATTGTTCAACCACAGAAAGCAATCTCTTTGAAGCATTTTGGATTCACCAAAGGGCAGGGGACAGTTGAAGGAAGATACAGGGGGCAAGAGAATTATATGCCATGTTTTTTTGTTTTTGATTTTTTGTAAAGCTGATCCATGAAGGAAATATTGTAGATGCTTTCTTCAACTTGTGCCATTTCAAGGACTGCTACTAGTTCTATTACTACCCGGGATCGAAGAAAGAGATCCTGAGTTTTGTTCTGTTTAATTGTGGCTGCATAGTCTGGACGGTCTGTAAGGAAACAGAACCATTCATTTAGCAGTAGCCTAGAAGATTACCAGCAGGTGGTTTTAATTTTACACCTTTTCTGTTCTGTGTTAATGATCTTTTGGAAATTGCTCTAGTCTGTTGTGATTTGGGGTTTCTCAGATGTCTGAACTTGGTGGAAGAGACCTTCATTTTGATTGCTATGGCTGAATTAGCACATTGATCTTCATTTTGTTCATCTTCTCTTATTTGATAATCAGCTATATCTAACTAGCAAAATAATGTTAAATTCAAATCACAAAAGTTATAAAAAAAACTCAAAACGGTTCGGTTTCGGGTTCACCCGAACCGAACCAAACCCGCCAGCACACATTTTGGGTTCCAGCACCCGAAAACCCACAAAGCACAATTCGGTTTCGGGTTGTGGGGGATCGGGTTCGGGTTTTCGGTTTTTCACGGTTTACGGGTTCGGTTACCCGACCCGAACCGACAGGCCTAGACATCACCCTATCTTAGAAGAGGATTTAAGAAGTGGGGAGTCTTTCATTCCAAGTACGGGACTCACAATCTAGAAGATTGTCGAGGTGCAAAACTTGATATAGCTTGTATACTGGGGCGACTTCTCAGAAAAGTTTAGGGTTTGTTCTTCGAGCGATTGAGTGTGGTTGAGGAAACACGCCATGACAAGAGAGAGAAGGGAGCCTTTGCTCTCGTCGACATGAATAGGGTCAGGGATTTCCTCGTCAACAAAATGAAACCTCAAAGGAGGAAGTTCTCCCGAGAGATCTCAAATCTGTAGAGAAAATTCATTTTGATTGGCTCCAAAAATGTGAGAACTTGTGTTGTTGTTGAAATAAGGAGGGGTCCCTATTTATAGAACTTTGGGAGCCTTCCCCTCTTTGGGTTCATCCCATTTGGTCACAGTCTCACGGACTAAAGGAAAGAAACAATGGTTAGGTTGCAGCCTTTTGTTTGCACCCAATCGCCTAAAGATAGGCCTTACCTTGGCTCTCCTTGGTTGGATGAGGTAAGCTAGTTTTCGCTATCCTTAATTGGATCATAAAGTAAGTGAGTTTTGGGCTTACTTCCACTAGTTTAACCTCTTTCTTGTTAACCAAGAAACGAGAGGAAAGTTACCTTTTGCTCTCTTCTATTTGGCCAAATGGAAGCTTAGGTTATGCTTCTTTAATCAGCCAATGTACCATGTTAGGTTTAGTTAACATAATTGGTGAGCTAGAACCAACTTGGTACATAACCGAATATGAAATAGTTCATCTCACACTCACCAGTGACCACTATTGGGTGCATTTTCCCCTCACTATTTGACATTTTGACTCCAGTATTCCGAATTGAATGAGGAGAAATGCATGAGAAGGGTGACCAATCAACCGCTTGGTTCATCGACGTGCATGCGTAGGGGAAATGCAGGGCAAAAGAAAAGAGGTGAGACTAAGATTTCACTTTCACCTGTTTAAGTGGTCTACTAGAATGTGATGTGAACTCAGAAGATAAGTCTATATCATGTAAGCATGAGAAGTATCTACTCAGTTTATGGTGGCACATGATCTCATTCTGCCCTTGATTGTGATTCGGCCTGTTCAAGGAATTGAAGTATTGAACAGACTGGTTACCATCCCCACCCACAGAAACACCATGAATGAGAAAGCCAGGGATCTCTTCTGAACAACATATCGTTCACATTCCTCTTTATCCCGCTTCCAGGAGCAGGGTCTATCCACTTTGCACGGGGCAATTACAACTGTATAATTTAAATGAAAACTAGATCAAAAGCAACTCGATAAAAGAACAAATCCTTTGAAATAAATAGATCATGATTTCTCCTGAGATCCTCGGTGAGAAAGTCTCAGCTGATCACAGTGCGATGCTAATCAATTCGATTTCCCTATTATCCGAGCTACCCTTTGGACGCGCCAAGTTCAACGTCCTTAATCAGTGTGCTTTCCACCCCTTCCTTCAAAAGTATGATCTCCTCCTCGGTAAGACTGTTCTTGGCGGACTGTATCTTGCTGCCGGAACTCTTTTCGGCTTCTACCGCCCAACTATAGACCACCATACCGAGGACTGCAATCAACATCCCGGCTATGTTCTTGAAAGTCAACTCAGATTCAAAGAGCAGCCACCCCAATGTGAGGACACACACTGTTTTCATGTGGCCTAAAACCTGAAACGAAACTGCAGAGAATCTTCCAATGCAGAGATACTGGCTAACGTTGCAGAACACAGCCAGGGAGCATGATAAAACTAAAAAGATCTGCACAGGTCACACGTATAAATTTATTTTTATTAGATAATAATAGTTGCTAGAAGACTACTAGACAGTTTTAGCGTGCACTAAACTGAGGCAAGAGAAACGGTTCTTACAATGGCTCCAGACGTCATCTGGTAGTTCAATATAAACTTCCCATTAAGGTAATAGTCGATAAAAGGTCCGAAAACAAGAAGGGAGACCGCCTGAATTGGAGCTGTCCGGCTCAGCAGCTCAAAGGAACCAATAGAGTACTTCTTCTGAAAGGAACCTATTGTCTGCCGCACAAGTGAAAACAGTTGTTAAATACACAGTACAAAGAACCAGATAATACTCCTACAAATCCAGAATAGACCCAAGTCATTCATCTATTAACAATATTCACAGTCCAAATAACCATGCATCGGCAAGGTATTGTTAAGCTATGGTAGAGTGTTTCCAGCACTTGATTGCTCCTCTTCACAGGTTAGCTAGCAAGTTGCTACTACACTAACAGAATACCAGTACTATTTGAAATATCAGTCATGACGTGATCTTTTGATGAAAGTCGGTCACTTTACCGTCATTAACTTCATTCATACCAGGTGGCCGACATGATAAACGATCTAGCGAGCCAGACTACACGAGAACTAAAACCCTCGAGCCTTGCTTTACAAGGAAAACAGGGAAGAAAATGTGCCTCAACAGTCTTTCAAATCAAGCGATCATTTTGAGGATTCCAAAAGCTGCGTATCAGAATATTACAAGTTGGGGTCTAATTCCTCAATAAGGTACACCCAAATATGAGCCAGATTATCCTTTTTAGGAGTTAAAGATCGGTTATTTGATCCCTTCGATACAGAATGTCAATTCAGATAACCCAAACTCCTGTTAAGTGATGGGCAGTTTGGCAGGCCAACAATGGTAGGGAATCCAAGGGAAGGCAAAGCAAATGTGGGTGCATCCGAAACAGTTGGTATAGAAATGGCAAGTGAAAGGAAATACTCACGATTTGCTGCAAGGATGTACAGAGGACAGCGACACAAGCACTGAGGAAACCTTTGGCATTAACTTTGACATCAGTCACTGTGCAAACACCAACTCCCACCACAACAACCATAACGGCGAACTTGACTTCTTTGGAGTAGTGCTTGCTGTGAAGGATCCACTCCATGACGCAGACAACTGGGATCATGCTGAGTTTAGAAATCTGTAAAGTAGTAAACACAGGAAGGAAGGAAGTAAGATTCAGGACGTCTCAGCAAGAATAACGAGTTGGGAGGAATCGAAAGCAAGAAACGTACTTGGTAAAAGCCGACAGAGTTGAGCATGAGACTTAGATTCATGCCAGTGATGGACATATTCGCAACGATGGAGAACCAGAGGAGCTCCCACATGGGGACATGCTTGGATGCGGATAATCCCGTGGCATTGGAGACCAGGCCTACCAGCGCCGTGACCGCGAAGTGGAAACCCGTCAAGGTGGTTGCTGAATTCAGATAAGAAGAAGAGATTCAGAGCAGGGACAGATTAATGGGGCAAGATCTGGTAAACAAGCAAAAACCTTTGCAACAGAAGAATAAGGGTAAAAAGAATTGATTTGGGAAACGGACCGAAGGCGAAGCCATAGCCGCCGGCTGACATGAGTTGCTTGTTGGCCATGATGATGCCGACGGAGCTGATGACGTTCATAGCCCAGGCTCCGACATCGGAAACTGCGGATCTCTTACCGTCAGTCTCCATAGAATTCCCTCCCTAGGATCCGCCGAACCAGAAAGAGGGTATTCACCAATAGCAGATCTACCTCTCCCCCACCCCCTGGAAATTGCAGAAAACTCTTGGGCAGAAGCTGTGAGATGGAAAGGAAGAGCCAATCCCCGCCTGCCTGCCTGCCTGGGGAAACAGGCAATTCAGGTTCGTTGGAGAGATGGGAGAAAAGGGGAAACTCGAAAGTAGCAATGCAGGCGAAAGAGGGTGGGATTTGGGAATTTAAAATGCCAGTCAGTGGACTCGAGCAAAGTGCTTGCTCGCTTGCTTGCTTTGAAGAACTAATCGAGGAGGAGTGAGGAGTTCAATTCCATTCAATTCCAAGATATAAGGGTTAAAAATAATTTGAGAAGAGAACGAATGAATGAATATACATGTATAATTTGTATTTGTTTATGGCAGGGAAGGAAGGCGAGCTGGAGGAGTCAGGAAAAGGAAAGATGACAAGAAAGTGAAAAACTAGACTAGATCTGGAAGCTGATCAGTGAGGTGAGAGAGAGAAGGATGGAAGGAAGGAGGCAGAGGCAATTGGAGTTGTGGTGCGTTGCAGGCGTGACGGCGTTAGCTAAGGTTGCGTGAGATGGCGGGTTTTTGTCCGTCCAGACGGTGGGGTTACGGCGACGAAGACGGCAAGCGGCAGAAGTGAAAGAAAGGGAGCATTCAACAAAAAAAAAAAAAGCAAAGAAAGGAAAGAAGGAAATGTCAATCCTCCTCCCAACTCAAATCCCAATCCCTAATCCTTACCCAAAAAATATTAATCTTTCCCTTTTAAGTCTTGTGTCCTTTTCTCGCTACCCGCCAGGTAAAATACAGGGGAAAGAACCAACACAATACACATTGCATCTTCTCCTGTTCTAACCTTGTTTTTATCGATATCGGTCCGACTGAAAATATCAAATACCAGATTCAAATTGAAAAATGATTTTAACGATAAAAAACGGTTGAATCATAGTTAAATATCATTAGTATTTTTTCGATATAATCTCTAGTACGATTTCACATTTCTTGATTTCTACGGCGACCTAACTGTACATAATTGCACAACACTGAGATCAAATTAATTAGCGTGACAAATTAAGGGGAAAACATCATGTGAGACTGACGAAACAGCACAAAGACAGCATATCCACCTCCCGCATCTCTGTCTAGCACCGTGTCGGTGGTGAATGGTGGATGGCCGCCTCCTTCCCTCCTTTTTGCATCTTCTGATTTGTCTTTTCTTCCCCCATGGAAACAAGAAGCTTCAAGCGCGTCCCAAATTTTTGTATGATAATTTATCGTTCAGATTTCGTTCATGCCGTAGCATTTGAAGATCCATCGAGTCCATGATCCAAATTGTGACAGAATGCACACTGCTCCTCCAATAAAATTACGAAATATCAGTGTTGCGAGCACCATAACCGGATTGCGAGCACCATAAAAAATCCTTTTTGAAGATGCAACATATGTCATTGCTAATAATATATATACAACAATTCAATGTCGTCTGCTTCATAATTTGTTGACCATTTTTCCTACAAGCCAAAAGAAACAACCCTCAAGACGGCCACATGGAAAAACGAATCAGACAATAATATACTCTGCTCACAACTTACAAACAATATTACAGCGATGCAAATAACACACATTCCACTGCTCAATCAAGTAGAACTACATGCACGCAGCAGCTGCTGCCTGCCATTGTTACCAACAAAAACGCTACTACACTATTTCCATCCAGCTTCTGGGATCTCGCGTGGGGCTCATAATAATTATCACACCTACACGACTACACCCCTCCAGTGCTGGATTCAAACAAAAGGCATGCTCGCTCAGAATATTTGCATCAGAAACCTTGTTGTACTATATGTACTCTTCACACCATAGCAAACATATACCATCAGTACATTCAACGACTGGCGAGAGATGGTGTTGTTGAAGAACATATATTCGCGCCAGGAGGTGTTGTTGGCCTCGGGAAGTCGTAGTTAGACTGACCACCACCAACCTGTGGAGACGCCATATACGGGCTCTACAATGTCCGTAGTTTTCCAGTAATGAAATGAGGTTAGACAAGACATCCCAAAAATGTATAAGCGTACCAACAAGATTACTGTGTCATTTGAAGGCATATTACACCAACATCAGGCATATTAATGATTCATATTGTCACGACACAACTGTGACACATAACAACATTCTCTATGATAGTTGTTCCTTCCAACAAAATGTAGTCATTTCCCTAATTTGGTTGTTCAAATTGTTCTACGACAAATGTTTTATAAAAGAGAACGACAATATCAATCATTGATAGAGGAAGACCGGCATTTAAATCATTGAAAAGAAAATGGACGATAGCCAGTTGGAGGAACAGATGGAAGGAACGACCAACTATCCCTTCTTCAAAGGGTGACCCTTCCAGAGTGCACAACCACAATTTATCAACACTTACCCAACTCAAGGGGAAGTTTACATAGCGCTTCATCGCAAGTTATGCTGACTGGTCAGTAGGGTAATTTTCAGGCAAATAAGGCCGAAAGAAGATAAAATTAGTCAAATCCTTTCCAGGGGAAGGAAGGATTGGAAAATCTGAACACGAAACAAACTACTTCTGAGAATTTAATAAAAGGAAGGGCTTTGGAGGGAGTGACAAAACACGAGACAGGATGAAATCAATCATGCGTTATACCACCTCATTATTGGTCTTGGATAAGGAAGAGTGAAAAGTTTAGAACTAATGCCACTAATAGGAAGCTTTGATAGGGAAGAGAAAATAAAGCAACAAAGAGCCTTCTAGGACCGGTCCTTAGCCATTCAAATTCACAAATAATTAGTCAGATAGATCTAGAATCACTATCACTTACTTACTAGAGATCGACTACAAAATGTAAGCCTGAAGGAAAAGCTATATATAAGCAATATCCTGCATATTAAATGCCTTTAAAAGCATATATTGAGATCCATCATGAATAACATAAAATGAGGACAGCTCGTCAAACAATGAACTGCACGTTTGCCAGAGCTTCCTGATTTGAAAGTCAAAACTACGATAACCCTGAGCGGCTGAGCCGGCTAGAGTGACAGTCAATTGAGACCGACATAGACTTAAGGTTCAATCGACCAAATGGCCAATGACTTACGGCCTGGCCAGATCAACTGTTGAAAACAATTTTAAAATCGTTTTCAACTTGTTCTAGTAAAAGAAGAGGAAAAACACAAAGGACAAAGGTCGATTCCACAAACAAGAGACCATATACTTTAAAGTTCGAAATGGAACTCTCGAGTTCAATCACGTTCCATTGTTTCCATCTATTAAAATACTTAGAGGTTGTTTGCAATTTGAATGCAGGAAAGCGTATTAAAAAAAACATTTGTGTCAAGGTATCAATCATTAGTTGGCACAAAAATAAAAATTGAAATATATGTATCCGAAATACAATTATAAATCTATCTAAGAAATGTTGTTTAAATCCCAACTTTCAATTGAGTTTTGAAATAACTCATTATGCATGGCCTTTCTTACAGATGATATATCTGTGCAACCTCATTATCCCATATACCATACTGTAAAAATGCATGCACTCAATACTAGCAGTTTTCAAATAATCCCTTTAAATCAATGAGTCCATTCCCTCCCCCTGCCCAAGCAGGAAAAACAACAAAGAGGAATGTCACAGGCAGCTAATATACCTGTGAGAACAGTGAGCTGTAAGATAATCCTTCAGGTGTTCCAGACCTTGGGGATGAACCAGGAGAAAATGCTTCATGGCTTGATTCACTTCCACTGTTCCACGCAACTTATGCAGGGCACTGCCTACATCAGCTCCACCCTCACTTCCATTGGTCGACGTTACTCTCTTGATGACAGTACCAAGGGTGTTAGAATTAATCTTAAGTTGCATTCAAGTTTTATAAGTAGATAGCGGGCATAAACAGCAAAGACAAATCGTACCTGAAAGACTTTGCCAAGAGTCTTCAATCCCTTTGCTCGAGAACAAAGCTCCTCTTTACCGACACCATTCTCTTGAAGAACCTAACATTTTCGAAACATATTATGACAAAGGAGAGGACCTAAACACCAACTGGAGTGTTGAGGAATGGATAATCTAACAAGTCTTTGCAAACTACCATCTGGCAAACATTGGAAAGAGTAGCCTCAATGTCAGCTATATTAAGCTTCCACGAGGAGTTGATCATTAGCTTCTTATGAGACTACATTTATTCTTCAAGCTCTTCCTCGGTATAATTTCCTTCTGCATTTAGCTGCTTTTTCATATCCTCTTGCAATTGGATTAACGCAAGGGCACCTAACACCAACCAGGCACAAGATAATAATAAAAGCCTTCTGTAAGCAAATGAGAAACGATGTCAAATAAGTTGAATGCAAATGATGTGCGTCTTTCACATAGCTAAGTAGCACAAAAAAGTAAATACCTACTCATTTCCTTTTTGAAATATATTTAAGTTACATGAGACCAACCAGGCAGATGACATATATTTATTAGACTTAATATTATACCGATAATGGTCATGCCAAAACCCCGTGCTTTTTTTTTAATAAACAAACTATTACAATTGCATAATTATTTCTTCATTACTAAAAGATATCTTACATTCCATCAACGAGCATTGCATACCAAACACAATTTTTCTTTACTTTTACTTGTACTAAGATTATTGTTCCTAGAAGACTTAAACAAACACACCAAAGTCTCCTAATTTCACTCTTAGGGAATGTGCAATACGAGATGCAGATTGCAGAATGGAAGAAGTGCTCAAAATGGTTTGGTTTGCAAGTCGGTTGAACTTGATACCATTTAAAAATAGATGTAATCCAGTTAGTAAGCATCCGGTCATCAAGTACCAGACAAACTTTCATCCCCACCGCAACTACTAGTTTTCTTACTTCAAGATTATCAAAATACCTATCTTAATTAATGACGGGGGCTTTAGGACTATTCTCGTTCAATAGGGATGTCATTTGAAAAGGCTAAACCAGACAAGTCTATTAATTTAGGACAAAATGACATCTCGTGAATACTGTTCCAGGAGAACGAACGGATACAGGGGAATCATGACAAAAACTGGCAACACAAGGGCATGGCATCCTTACTATAACAAGTCTTCTCTACTAACCTGTTGCTGCAGTAACCCGGGACTTGATGAAATGCCCTTTGTTTCTGAACCATTCAGCAACAAACGGCACGCCCAAGTACATTGCTTTCTTACCCAACTCTCTGGCTGCTTGTCTTACATAAATGTAGTCAATCGTGTTCAACATGTCAACACCATAAGCTGGAGAAGATAGAACAAACGATGAACACATATTACAACTACATAGGAGTCATGAAGCCCATCATTCTAATTAGCAAATCATGAAAAACTACTCATGAGAACACAATTGTTATATGTAACATTAATTGTCGAACCATAAGTAGCCACAACTTTGTTTCATTACATACCAAATGCATGTGCAGTGATATAGGTCCAAGTTTGCACTACCAAGTGTTCAAAATCATGATATTAGTTGGTATTTGGTTAGCTTGTATTGTTCTTAAAAGAATAAGAGCATGGTCATAAGCCCAAACAATTCAACCTTATCCAACTTTAAGATTTTGGTTTTTGGACTCTTATTATGGAATCTGAAGTCCATGCTACCTAAAAATAACTAAATAGCACAAGGCCTATTACACAGTGAAAGTTTGCTCATTGATAATGATAACGTAAAATAGTACTATCGGTAAGCATTATGAGAACTTAGTTGAAAGTGATCATTTTTGCCGCTTGTTTGATCATGAAAGTTCAATAACTTGACTAGCCTAAAATTTACTTAACTAAATGCATAGAATTTGCCTCCGCTACTCTTTAAATTATCCTGCCCAGATACACAGAATTTACCTGCATTCAAAAGTCTAGTTACTTCAGACTCGGCATGTTAAACAAACTCTTCTTTATTTCCTTGTACGTATTGGTGGAGTCGATTTTTTAGTGTTTCTGCTAGCCTTTCTTCTCTCTCCTTCTGAACAACCTGAACATAATCAGTTTGTAAATGCAACCTAGACAATATTAGCAAAGGATTATCGGAACAGATTAGACTCAACAACCCACAATACTAAATACACAACCATAATGTTATCAATTCAAGAATCATGTTATGTATTTCTGAGTTTCATAACTCTCAGGGAACACTGTTTTTCTTTTTCGCAGCTACAACCTAAAGCTGAAGCCTCGTAAGCCGCCAAAGTCAGGCCTCCTTCAAATGACGTAAGAACCTAGACCCACCACAAAACCGTATGGAGCCAGCCAATTTTCCGAAAACTTACCGTGAGCAAGATCCACAGAAGTTAAAAAAAACTAGATTTCAAGCAGAAAGGAACACTAGTCTTCTATTTGTCAGTTTATCTTTCACAGAAAACAAAATAGTACAAATAATTAAAATATGAAAGGACATCATGTGAAGGGCAGACGAGGTAAATTATTCAACATACAACTAATGGTAATAGATTCTACCCTCATTTTATCTTGTAACTTCTTGGTATCAAACTGCTCCCCTTCCGTGAAAATGTCCAACGATGCCATAGATGCCATGGCGAGCTGTCCTATGTAATCCTCAAAAAGCTCACTACCAAAAAGCATGGCAAAGATTGCTGCACAATGATCCCTTCACTGCAATGAGAAAGAAACATGCAACAACCATCACAAAAAGAAAGGGGGAAATGAAGAAAAAAAAAACAGTACACAGGATAAAATTCATCAGAATATTTTGAATTGTTATAGATGAGATGCGTGAACAAACTATTACCAAATATGAAACAAGAATAAGAGACTAACGTTGAGATTTGTATACTTTATGTTTCGATTTGTATACTTTATATTCATTAATTTGTAATACAAGTTTAATGCTTTGTATTGTAAGTAGTAGCATTTTGTACTGTTAGTATGTTTTGTAATGTTTGTCATTCTAGTTTGTATAGTTTGTATTTTTTGTATTGTTTGTAAATCTGTTTGTATGTTTTGTCGCTCTAGTTTGTATTGTTCCAAATGTTTGTATAGTTTGTACGGTTTGTAAGTCCGGTGTGTATACTTCGTAAGTTTCCATAATATCCAAACTACCTTGTCATTAATTAAAAAGCTCTTCCCACTTTTTAACTGTCAGATTGGCGTGTCCAGATTTAATAGCTAGGAGGGGCTTAGTTAAGTGATTAAGCACCCCCCTTAGTCACCAGATCCGCCCTCGTGTGCTCAAAAACATTCTTATTGGTCTACATTATCCAAAATCAAAATGAGTGGAGGAATTGCTAGTTTGGAGAAAGGTTTGGGTTTAGGGGTGGGCAACAAGAATGGGTATTTGGGTATTTCCATACCCGTGTCATTTTTTTAGGATTACATGTATCCAAATACGCGTATTTTTTTATGGGATGAAACACGAGATAGGGGGTGGGCATTCGGTCGGTTCGGTTTTGACCGAACCAACATTATGAATACCGGGTCCCCGAATTCTCCCAAACCTCAAACCGAATTCGAACCGAATTATAATTCGGTTTGGTCGGTTCAAACCAAATTATAATTCGGTTCAGTTTTCCACACGAAACCGAATTTGTGAAGCTACTTGTATCTTCTCACTTTTAAATTATTTTCACCCCTAATATAAACAATAAATATGCAATTATATGCATCATCAATGATAAAATCAAACTTTTCAACACATAAGTCATAAAACATTTCAAATATTCAAGTCTAAAAACAACTACAAACATAAAAATCCACCATTTGGAGCTTGCAATTACAGTATTTCGATTTTTCGGTCAAAAATTCGAAAATTCGGTTCGGTGAAAGAACCCTCATTTCCGAACTATCCATATTTTCCTTCCGAATTCCGAACATTCCCATAAAATGGAAATAACAAAAACGGTGCCGAATCCAGCTGTCGCCTCTTCAGGAATGAGATCATCATCATCTCCCGAGCCTTAATGTCTTGGCATTAGTGAACAGTGATGCAATTTGAACCCGCCCTACGAGTATCACACGACTTGATTCGCGATGAGGCGAATATTACCCGATCCGTAGTAGCGTGTGGCGGGACATGTGTATCTACTTCCGATCCGCGCTGCCCCCGCCCGACCTGTTTTAGACCCATTTTATCTCAATTTCTTACAGTATCTATATATATTTCTCCTATTTCGACTTTTTTTAACTAGTTAGAGTCGATACTCAACTAGCTAGACTCAATTGCCCATTCTATTATCACTATTTTTTCATTCATAAAGTGTTTTTCCTTTAGTTTTATCGTAAAAAGTAAAATTTTCGTGTATTTTTTCAAATAATATGTAAGTGGGGTTCGACCCGCCCCAAAACCCGCCACGCCACGTAGTAGTGTGGGGCGGGGCTTGGGAATTGAGGTCCCCCCCCCTACTTAGCATTGTGTTCTAAACAAAACTAGATGGGGATCGCCTGGATCAGAGTCGTCGTTAGATGAGTCTCTGAGTGGAGTGGAATTCTTCAGACAAAGTAAAAATGAACCAAAGAAAAAGCCAAAATAACGAAAAACCATCCAAAATTATGGGTTACTTGTGGGTACCGGTACAGGTTTGGGACATAAAATGAAGTTTTCTCTCCAAATGGATCTGAGTACACGTTTCAAACGGGACGGTACCTAATCTCACCTCGTTGCCCACCCCTACTTGGATTAGAGAGAAGCCACAAAATAGAGTCAGCTGAGCTGAGAAAAAGAGGGAGGAACCACCATGTAAGAGAAATACTTCTACTAACCCCTCTTCTCATTTCTCTTTCAAATTTCTCTCTTTCTTTTTTCACATTCTCTCTTCATCTTTTTCTCTTAAACCTCTAAAACTTCTTTTCCTTTATTTTTCCAAATGATATCTTCCTCTTTTCTCTCTGAAGTAATTTTCCCCCCGAAATTCGAGTTAAAAATGAAGGTGGTAACAACTATCAAGATGGTAACGAGTGATATGAATTTTTTTCCCGAAATATATTTAAAATGAATAGCATTTTGTAGATCACAACGAACGCATTCTATATCTATGCAAATTTTTTTGAAATCCAAGTTTAAGCGCAGAAAATAAAAACTAACTAAAAATGTTAGGAAAATAAAAAGTCATTAATTCTCACTCTTCATATCTTGTTACTTCTTATCTTATTTGAAACTAAAGATCCAGACATGATTATGCACCCTATTGTAAGCCAAGAATTTATAATAATATTGACGAGAATAGTAAATTAGGGTAGTGGCCTAGTGGGGCAGAAAATATCAAGGTTCTAAAAGGCGCTAGGCGTACGGCAGGCGCTCGGCTCCTGACTTGCGCCTTGCTCGATTAGGCGTAGCCTAGGCACGCCTAGGCGTTCAGAGCATAAATGGAAAAATTTTCATATAATCCAAGTGCATATAAAATTAGCAATGCCTAGCTCTTAACAGTAAACACTTAACATAACAAATAACAAACAAATAGTGACCAATCATATGCTAATAGGTGCTTATAGAGGCAAGAAGCTTGTGCTACCTACCAAGGAGAAGGAAGGAGCAACAATTGGCGAGTTTCGACTTTATTTCCCACTATAGCAGCGGTGCGGTGTGAAGGCGAGAAGAGTGATCGATGACTTTCTCCTGCGGCGACAGAGAGCAGCAAATGGGGCGAGAGCTAGGGCGGTAGGCGACAGCAGATGTTACTTCCCGTGTTTCAGATTTTCTAGGGCAAGAGGCAAGTTTCTGATTTTCTAAGTCAAAACGAAGAGTATTGGGTTTAACCGCCTAAGCTCGCCCAGGAACGCCCAGACATGCCTTCTCTCCACTAGGCGCAAACTAAGCGCTACCAGCGCCTTTTACAACGCCTATGGTCAAGTTAAGGCGATCCTCCACCGCCTGGCGCCTAATTGAGCCTAGGCTCGCCTTCTTCAACCCTGGAAAATATTAACCCAAAATTAAAAACCTACAGAGTTGAGCATTTTCTTTCTTGGGCTGAAGCCCAGCTCTTAAGGACGACGCGGAGCCCAGTCCATACCAAAATTGGCGCGAACACTTCCCGCCAACAACCTCTTCGGCGGTACTACTAGGGCCGCTGGGACTGGTACACTGGACTGCAAATCTGCGATTTAGGAACTGTTCTTACCGCCGGGAGCAAACCCTTGGGACACTCTCACTCTCCGAAGCGCGGAACAGAGTACAGCTGCAAGGTGGAAAATGGCGTCGCCGACTCCAAATTCTGAAAACCAGCCATCTACTCCGGATTCCCCGACTTCGGCAGGCTTCAATACAGATCAACTCCCTCACCATACCAGCCAAAACAATACCGACGACGACGAGGCCTCCGTTGATCCCCAAATCATTCCCGATGAGCCGGAAGAGCTCGCGGAGGATGAGGAGGAGGAGGAAGGAGAGGACCTCTACCACGACGATTTCTTGGAGTCCGTATTCTTTCATTTCTGTTCTCAGTTCTTCCCTCCTCTTTCTCTGAATCTAAGACTGACCTTTACCTGTTTCTGTAATATCTGATTCCGCGCTGGATTTCAGTGACTACCGGAGAATGGAAGAGAACGACCAGTACGAGTCAGTTGGACTGGACGACTCGTTAGAGGACGAAAGGGATATGGATCAGATCGTGCACGATCGAAGGGCTGCTGAGATAGAACTCGATGCTCGTGAGGGCCGAATGACGAACCGGAAGCTTCCTCAGCTTCTCCATGACCTTGGTACGCCACCAATCCATGAATTGCCTTTTGAAATTGCAAACCCTAGACTGATCCAATTTCATTATCGCTTCCCGAATACTTGTTCTCCATCAAAGTTTAGCCTTTCTAGTTGCTCTTAATTGCAAATTACAAATGTCTGGATTGACGAAAACCAAGATTCAGTTTATAGTACAGCTTTCGATATCTAGCTGATGCTAAGGCTACACGTACTTCCTATGTATGTTTCCTTCTTCAGTTCATATAATCAGTTACATTAGACGGGTTGAATTCATCTTGACACCTTTTTTGTTGGAAAAAGACGATGACAATTACAGGCCTTCAAAGAGGTCTCGAGCTGATTTCAGGCCTCCAAATGAGCCACACAGTTATGATGACACCGATGGTATGCAAAGCTCTCCAGGAAGGTCCCAGCGCGGACATTCAAGAGATGATGTTCCCCTGACTGATCAAACTGATGATTATCCTTATGAGGTATCAATTGCTATTCACCTTTAAGTGCCAGCCCTTAATCTTGAACAATGAGTTTAGCTGAAGAAGTCAATTACTGGTAAAATTAGTTCTGCACTCAAAAAGGGTTGTCTGTGTAGGATGAAGATGGTGACGAAGGGGAGTTTGAGATGTACCGTGTCCAAGGAACTTTGAGGGAGTGGGTTACCAGAGATGAGATTCGCCGTTTCATAGCCAGGAAGTTCAAGGAGTTCTTACTCACCTATGTTAATCCGAAGAGTGGGCAAGGAGATTTCGAGTATGTGCGGCTGATAAATGAGATGGCGTTAGGTGAAAAGTCTACTCGTGTTCAATTGTGCAAGCATTTCAACTAATGGTCTTCCCATGTCCTAGATATCCACAAGTAAGTGTAACAATTTTATACTCCATTTGCAGCAAATAAGTGTAGCTTGGAGATTGACTACAAGCAGTTCATCTACGTTCACCCAAACATTGCCATCTGGCTTGCTGATGCACCCCAATCAGTCCTGGAGGTCATGGAAGAGGTTGCCAAGAGTGTGGTCTTTGACTTGCATCCAAAGTACAAAAACATTCATCAGAAAATCTATGTCCGAGTTACCAACTTGCCAGTCTATGATCAGATCCGGAACATTAGGTATTGCTCATGGTTTGTAGTAGATGAAACATGCCTTTGTTCTAACCTGACCTAACTTCCGTGTTTTCTCTTTCAGGCAGATACATTTAAACACCATGATTCGCATTGGGGGAGTTGTGACTAGACGTTCAGGAGTTTTCCCCCAGTTGCAACAAGTAAAGTATGATTGCAACAAATGTGGGGCAGTATTGGGACCTTTCTTTCAGAACTCATATTCAGAAGTCAAAGTTGGTTCTTGTCCTGAATGCCAATCAAAAGGACCATTCACTGTCAATATTGAACAGGTAAAGTATTTTATCTCCTTAGATCTGTCACAAATTTCTGCTGACATTGTTAAGATTGTAGGGAACAGATTTTTCAGAAAATATGTTACACGTTGGTAATGTGTATATTTTGCATTTCAGACTATATATAGGAATTACCAGAAACTCACCCTTCAAGAAAGCCCAGGAATTGTGCCAGCAGGCCGGCTTCCTAGACACAAGGAAGTGATACTGCTGAATGATTTGATTGATTGTGCCCGCCCTGGTGAAGAGATTGTATGATCTCTTTCTTGAACTTTCTTTTGAACTTATAATGATTTTACAAACGCTAGTTTCTCAGTCTCGTTCTCCTCGTGCATTCCAGGAAGTGACAGGAGTATACACGAACAACTTTGACCTATCTTTGAATACAAAGAATGGATTTCCCGTCTTTGCCACATTAATTGAGGCCAATTACGTTACAAAGAAGCAGGACCTCTTTTCTTCATACAAACTTACCCAAGAGGACAAAGAAGAAATTGAGAAGTTGGCTAAAGATCCAAGGATAGGAGAAAGGGTGTGGAATTTTCCTTCATTACCATGAAGAATTGTGTACATATCCATTTCCTTTCTGTATCATGACCATGCAGTACTGTGTATATATCCATTTCAGATTGTTAAGTCCATTGCTCCATCTATATATGGCCATGAGGATGTCAAAGCTGGGATCGCGCTTGCAATGTTCGGAGGGCAGGAGAAAAATGTGGAAGGGAAACATCGTCTACGTGGCGACATCAATGTACTTCTGCTGGGTGATCCAGGCACTGCAAAGTCTCAGTTTCTGAAGTAAGTTGGAAGGAAACCCATTCTCGTTAACGATTTTGACTTTGATTAGTATGGATAGCACTTTATGCTTTCCTTTTCTCCATTAAGGTATGTGGAGAAGACGGGGCAGAGGGCTGTCTATACGACTGGTAAAGGAGCTTCTGCAGTAGGTCTCACAGCAGCAGTCCACAAAGATCCAGTGACGAGAGAGTGGACCCTTGAAGGAGGTGCCCTTGTTTTAGCTGATAAAGGTATCTGCCTCATTGATGAATTTGACAAGATGAATGACCAAGACAGGTAAGGGAACACATTCCAAACATGTGACGGTCGATAATCTCAGCCATGTTTATTAATTGAACTGACGTTTTGTGATCAGGGTGAGCATACACGAGGCAATGGAGCAACAGAGTATTAGCATATCAAAAGCTGGGATTGTTACATCTCTTCAAGCTCGATGTTCTGTGATTGCTGCTGCAAATCCTATAGGGGGAAGGTGTGTGTATAGATTCGTAAGATAAGCCAATAGATAAACTGATTTGAAGGAGGAAGCTGGCAGGGATTTCCTTCTGTTTCCTCCCTTTCTTTTCTTTTATTCCGGAAGTTTTTTCCACCCTACATTTCCTCGCCTCGTGTCACACGTTCGTGCCTGACTGTTAAGTTGTTGTGAAGGACAAATGTTCTGAAAGTCTGCTCAACTTGTACCTTTTCCCAGGTATGATTCATCAAAGACATTTGGGCAAAATGTTGAGTTGACAGATCCCATTGTTTCTCGTTTTGACATCCTATGTGTCGTCAAGGTAATCTTCTCATGAGTGATCTTTCTTAGTTTACATCTACTAATTCAGGATGACTGAGGAACAAGTTCGACATTAATTGCAGGATATTGTGGATCCTGTAGCAGATGAGATGCTTGCAAAATTTGTTGTAGATAGTCATTTCAAGTCGCAACCTAAGGGTGCTGCTATGGATGACCGGTCCATGAACGAGTCCCAAGAGGACAACCAAGCCACTTCTGTGCCCACTGATCCAGAGGTCTGTCCCATTCTAGATCCTGATAGTTTTTTTTTTCTATCTGAAGGAGTTTTTCATTTTTCTGTTCTCCACCTTCACTTAGTCTAATTTTAAGTAGTATTTTCTCTCTAGATTCTTCCTCAAGATTTGCTGAAGAAATACATATCCTATGCAAAGCTTAACATCTTCCCTAGGCTGCACGACTCTGATATGGAAAAGCTAACCCAAGTGTATGCTGAACTCCGGAAGGAATCTTCGGTGAGGGGGGCCTGGCACATGTGCTTCTATATTTTGTTTCAATGACGATTGATAGAGCAACTGATAATATGATTGTGTTTTCTTGCTGGAACCGCAGCACGGGCAAGGAGTCCCCATAGCTGTAAGGCATATTGAATCTATGATTAGGATGTCCGAAGCACATGCCAGAATGCATCTCAGACAGTACGTGACAGAAGAAGATGTGGACATGGCAATAAGAGTTCTTCTGAATTCATTCATATCAACTCAAAAGTACGGAGTGCAGAGGGCTTTGCAGAAGGTACAATTAAGATTGTTGCGAGTCCTTTTCATATTCATTTCCTCCTGTTTCGAGGGCCTCATCCTTCTGTCATTGCTGGGATTCGTATTCCAGAGTTTCAGAAAGTACATCACATACAAGATGGATTACAACAGAATGCTTTTCAATCTTCTAAGGGAGCTGGTGAGCAAAGCTCTGCGCTTTGAGGAGATTGTTTCTGGTTCAACCTCGAGGCTTAGCCATATTGATGTGAAGAGGCAGGATCTCCAGAGCATGGTAAGGATTAAGGAAACAACTCAATAGTTTCATTGTCTGTCTTTTTTCCTCTATGAATGGATGTCTGTGTAGTTGGTTAGTTGAAGTTTGAGGGAGCTGGATTTCCATAAGGCGGAGGTTGACGTGATTCATTGTGCAGGCCGAAGAACGGGGGATTACAGATTTGGAACCTTTCTTTTCCAGCAATGACTTTTCAGCGGCCAATTTTGAGCTGGTGGAAGAGCGTCAGTTGATAAGGCATCGCCTTCCAAGGCAGTCGCAATAGTTTGGTTGCAGATTTGTAATACTAGTACTATAGTGTGTACCCATTGGCTGGCTCCTCCCGCAGCAAATCGAGCTATATTTATTTAGTGCTTTATTGTGACACTTTTGTCAGACGTATCCTGTATTTTTCATCTAGTTATTAGTTATTATTATTAGATCTTTAAATTACTATTAAATAGTTATTATTATTAGATTTTTAAAAGGACAAGTAATGAAATTACTATTCCTTACAGTCAAATTAGATCCTTAAAAGAACAAGTAATGAAATTACTATTCCTTAATTTTTTTTATTTATTTATACTATTCCTTAATTAGTAGTTATTAGAAAATGACAAGCAATTATTATTATTAGTTATTATTATTATTAGTTATTATTAGAATTATTAAGTCCCAAGTTTGCACAAATTTCGGGTACTGTTCATTAAGAAATTTTCGGAGGTCACTGTTCAGCAAGGGATTTTGGAATCTGTTGCAGCTGTTTTTAAATGAGCCCGAGTTCATCAGGTTGGGTAGGGCAAGTGTGGCCATTGGGCTTACATACAAACAACCACACCCAGCCAATACCACTATTTCACTAAAAAAAACTAATACCCTTCTCTTTTTCTGTGCGTCCCCCTCTCTCCTCTTCTTTTCCCCATTCACTCTCTTTCCCTATTGTGAAAAAAAACCCAGAAAAAGATTTGTTTCCTCTTCAGAGGGAAGAGATCATTGAAATACCAGGTTGAATGCGATTGAAGTCGCAGTTGTTGAGTCCGGCCGTGTGTGATACTTCTCAAATGATATAGCACTATGGCAGATTAGACGACTTAGAGAAAGAGGAACCAGGATATCATGGCTCGGGTTATCAGATCCAAACAAAGGATAGATTTTAGAGGCGTTCGATCTCAGGGGTCTGCAAGGAAAAGGTTGCGTCGATGGAGGATGTGGAAAATAAAGGCGATAGCATAATTTTGGATGGTCTGTAAAGGAGGAGGAAAGGTGAGCTTGGATTTGCTTTCGGAAGGGCTAGGGTGTTCTTCTCGCTCCATCTTCTGCAACACTGAGATATTACTTCAAAAGGAGAAATACTCGGAGGTCAGTGTTGTTTCATGTATTGAGTTTTGGTGTTTGATGTGCATTGACTTGGGTATTCACGACTTCTATTGAAATATCATAACTTGAATAGGGCATGATATTGCATTTGTTCTTGACTATCGACCTTTCAAAAACTAGACAACCGTTTCTTTCTGACAGAGCAAGACCAAAATTGGGTTTTCCATAACTTCTCTGCCATAGTTCTCTTAAATTACTATGCATAAGTAATTTGAATTGGTTTCCCTATAAAAGTGCGTTGTTGTATGCTACTCTTTCTATCCTTTGACTTGCTTTATCAAAATTGTCTTTCTTTACAATGATTCTCCAACTGTCTTGACTAAATGCACTTTCACTCAATTATATAGGAAGTTTAGTGTCAATCTAAGCTTTTGAAGGATCAAGGACACAACATCCATTTAGGATCGGCAACTCTACTTCATTAACCAGGCTGTTGGGAAAAGGGTAATTTGCAGAACCAAAGGATTAAAGTTCCTCCCTGTCAAGGTTTTGTTGAAAGCTCATACGTTCAGTACATATGTTTTTGATTTATGATGCTATTATGCACTCTGCCTACCCTACCCTCCATTCCTGTCATTGTGTAGATTATTTATTTCATAGATCACTGCAGATCAATGTCACCAGAATGTGATGGTCATGTTTGTTTCAATTAGTAGTAATCATAGATCATTATTTAAGATGAGTATTAACGCTCCAATGTGTTGGCCCCATGTTACTTACTTTAGATATATTGGTCCTCCAATTCTCTTTGTTGTTTATGAATCAGTGGTCTTTTTGTTCTTGGTTGCAACTACACGATGTGAATCTGTACTATTTAAGTTCATTGTCAAGCTGACTTTTTACTACTCCTATTGCTTTGTGTCATCGTTCTCGCAAACTGTTTTGCTTTGCCATGGTTGCTTTTTAACATTGCACCTCTCTATTAGAGGCTGATGTATTATGCAAGATTTCAGTCATCTACTGTTTATACACCTTGGAAGTTCGTTGACAATGATATAACTGATATCTATTTCCTTGCCTTCTGTATAATCTTTAGAGTTGTGACAAACAGTAAAGATGCAATTCCTGCGATTAAATTGTTTATATTGATTAATGCTAGGTGGGTGGTTGAACATCATTTGATGTTCACGTTTAGCAAAAAATACTTCCTCTTTTTCAATCTATTTCTCATATAACTTCCAGTTAGGTAATGTTTGCTTCAATGGTTGACTAGCTTTTGGTCTCATTTTGATTCTCCTTTGTTGTTTCTTTATTTGAAGAAGATAGATTTTCTCCATTTTAATTTCAGATCATTTAGCTACATACCTGTAAGTACGTTGATGAAAAACTATAGTTTCTGGGAATGTTCATTTCATTAGCACGGATGAAGATTTGAAGAAGGAAGAACATGCAGAACAAGAACAGATAGGAAAGAAATTTAATCCAGTTAATTTCAACTTGAATGTTTTAATTGTGAAACTATAATGCTGTATTTACATTTTTGTATTACTTAGTCCATGTATAACTTGAGGTAGGACATACTTCCCCCTCTGCAGGTTCGTACAATTAGCTAGCAATTCATTTTTACTTGATATTGTAGATCTATTTTTGGTAAACTTGATACTACATATTCAAGTTATAGTCTTAGAAGGCATACAAATCTTACCTCTATTTTTATGAACTCTATATATGATCATCGGTATCTCGTTTCTTAAACCACAAACAATGAGCTTTTGAACATTTAGATGTTGACGTAATTATTATTTCGATTGAAATACTACATCTGTTGTTTCTTTATTAGTTTCAGTTATTGTTTCTTTTTTTTTTTATTAATTCCATTCGTCAAGGTTGTGATGGAATAATGCTTAGTTTTCATAGGCATCTCTCATTAATACACAACACTTGGTTGACGGGAGATTTTTCACATTTGATTTATTCATTTCTTTATGGCCCAGTATAGTAAAGGAGCAACAAAATTGATATACATGATAACTTATAGATCATTAGAAAGATAAACAATAGACATAGACACTAAAAAAACTAAACAAGCTGGAATAAATTATAAAACCAACGAAAAAATAACGTCTACCTTCCCTAAGATTAAAGTGTCTTTCCGCCGCAGAGCGCGGGCTAATAAGCTAGTTAGATCTTTAAAAGAACAGGTAATGAAATTACTATTCCTTAGAGTCAAATCAGTAGTGGGCAAAACCTGAGATGTTTTTACAGAAATACCACTAAAAAAAATTCAAACATACCACCTATTTCCGAAAAATTCCAAAAATACCATCATTTTACGAAAACTATTTGAAGAGAGCGCGCGGTTTTCATCGAAAATTGCGCCGAGGCGGGACGGTCTGATAAACTGCGCTTGGAAGGAGCAGTTCTTTTGCAAACTGCCCCCCTAAGTAGCGGTCATGGTATTGGGCTCATCACCCGAGAGAAAGAGAATTAACCATTCCATGTGTTCGCTTAAAAGCACAAATATTTACCCTTATCAAAAAATATATTAATGAGCATTCCAATTTCCAAATTCTGAATAATTAATTAACTATAAAAAGTTGGAATTTGGTCTAAACGTAAAACTCACCTGAAAGTAGGGATGGCAATGGGTAGGGTCGGGTGCGGGTTTACCCTATACCAACTCCTAACCCGCCGGGTAGAGCCTCCTAAAATACCCGACCAAATAACCACCTGGTATGAAAATGATATAACCATACCTTACCTACCGGGTAACCACGGGTATTCGGGTAACCACAACGAACCCTAAAATATGAACTTATACACATATATGCACATACATACTGTTGTCCATTAAAAATTCTCAATACTTGTAACTGTTCTAGCTTCAATAAAAACAACAAACACATAATAATTATTCTTGCTTCTACATTCCACAAAACAAAAACACAATACATCATATTTGTTCTAGTTTCAACAATCCACACATAAACAAAAACAACAAAGACAATATTAGAACCATACCACATCAAATGCTCACTGCTTAACTTATGCTTCATGACATCCATCAAGGCATCATTAGTAGAACAATTATCCAAGGTAATCGTAGATACTTTTGTGTCAATATCTCAAGCAAGTAAAGTTTCAAGAAGAGCCTGAGCAAGCACCTCACTTGTGTGTGAGCAAGGAAAATCGACTGTTGGGTTGGGTTAGGGCTAAGGAAATTGACCATTTGGTTAGCGGGGCGGGTATTATCGATTACCATACCCGTACCTGCCCCTTAACCCGTCAAAGTGGGTAATTACCTTCATTGACCGGTTACGGTCGGGTAGGGTACCCATGGTTACGGGTTGGATTGACATTCCTACCTGAAAGACTTCGTGATTTCGAATATATATCCACTGTTCCATAAGATTCCATTGAAGTGGTTGGTTATTGTTGGGCCAAGTATTGGAATACGTGGGCCCTAAGGATCATGGTTACAAAGCCCACAAAACAAACGGGCTAGACCCTGCCAACCAGACAAACACGATGACCCCGAGGCGGTCTCTCGCTCCTAGAAGACCGCCGGACGCGGTCGGCCTGTCACGATCGCCCGACATTAGGACCAACGGCCTTATGGTCCCCTCCGTACGAAGAATGCCAGGGATTCGTACCATTGTTAGTAAAATATGGTACGGAAAAGTTACGTAAAAATTACGTACGAGTATTTTACGTCGTCTTTAAGGTAATGTTACATTTAATAGTACGTTAATAGTCATAAATACAAAAAAATTAATTATTTTAAAAAATAAATAAATAACTAAATAATAGTAAATTTCAAAATTTAATTCCATTAAATACAAATATTAAACGTGTTATACGGACTTTATACGTGTTTAGTACGAGAGCCATCAAATGAACGGGAAAAAATGAGACAAACGTATATGGAAGGTTTAAACGGATAAAATATGTACGAGTACATATACGTGTATTAAACGAAGTATTTACTAACTATGATTCGTACTAACAATGCATTTAATAAGCCTAGAGGCGTCCCCGGACGTCCGACAATTCTTTAAATGCCCAAGACCCAGCCAGAGTTAGTATAAATACCCTTAAGGAGCATCATTTATGGTAACTTCTACCTACTCCATTCTCTCTCTTATTTACTACTCATTCACTTCTCTCTCTAACTTTGGCATCGGAGGAGGTCCCAGGATTCCCCTGAGGACCTTTCTTGCAGGATTTCGGAGACAACTGTTGGAAGTGTTGGATTATAGGTGTGATACGGTTCTCTTTAGGCCGAGAACTGGCCAGTTTTGGTTTTGCAACTGTTGCAATTTTTCTGTAAATACTTTGTTGCTTCTTATTTCATTCAATCCTCTTTATATAGAGGAGAAATCCTAAAGGTAAGATCAGGTTCACAAGTGGTTGAGACATGATCTCTATGATTTGGAAAATCACGCAAGCTCTATCTCCCAACACCTAAACAACCGCCAAAAAGAAAGATCATAACAACTACTAAATCATCAACAAAATATCAAAGCAAACAAATCCTCAAATCCTAACAACTACTCTTCCCTTCGTAAGCAGCCGCAACTAATGAGCTCTCCCATGGGCCTTTCTTAGTCATGCGTATGGTTTTCATGGGCTCCATGGCCCATACGTGGAGCATCCAGGAGAGCAGGGGAATGGAACGCTTGAGTTCGTCCATCAACTGTCCCCCGTCTGTCGAAAGCCGCACGAGGCCCGTGAAGTCTCACAAAACTGCCTGGTACAATCCTGGCACAAACATTTTGGCGCCCACCATGGGGCCTCACGACTTCGTCCTCCAACTCCTCCAACTCTTGAAGACAAAGAAAAACCCCACCGAGGGTCCAAGGGGAAGGACGCGTGAGGAGAAACAGAAGGTTGTCCAAATCTTTGACAACCCTGCTTAGATAGAACGCGGAGGACTGGAGGCGTAAGACGTATACCTCTACTTCCATCCAAAACACCTACGGTTGACCTACGGGAAACGCAAATGCCCAAATGTTCTCCAAAACCCCTATCGAGAGAACTATTCGAAATCTCAGTCCCGCCTGATTTATCCTTTGTAAGGTTATCCAAATACGATGGGACTTCAGATCCTGCGGACCGTCTTTGTGCCTTCATGCTAAAGAAACAGCTCATCAACGCGTCGGACATAGGATTGTCCCACGCGTCCCTGGTCACGTTTGGCGGGCAGCGCCGAACGTGGTACACCTCCCTCCCAGAAGAGATAATAGAGAATTTTGAGCAGTCCGCAATGCTGCTCTCCAGAAATTCGCCTCCCAACCAATGCATTCAAAATCGCGCTTTAAAACTTAAAGGCTTGCGCTTTTACCATTTTAAGTCACAAAAATGCGTCTATGTAGAATCGTGATTTTCCCTTACAAATGTAGTCAAAATCTACGCTTTAAAACTTAAAAGCTTACGGTTTTACGCTTCTAGGTCACCCAACTGCTTCTAGGTAGAATCACGCTTTCGATTGTATTGGTCCCAACGACATCGCTCGCGGAATCTTACGACCGATGGCACGCGATCGCATGTGAAATAGAAGGCATCTCCTCGGTCGTAACTGCCAGCAACCTTAGAATATCTGCAAGCAACAGCAAGTTCAAGAGGACCTTGATAAAGAAAGAACCCACACTGACATCCTAGTCTAGCATGGATCACTTGGTATGAAGAGCGACTCTGCTTGAGAAAATTACATCTTTCCCCCTCCGTCTGGAAAAACTTTCTCCCTCCGTTAGAAATATAAACAAAGGTCGCCTCAGCCAAGTTTCGAACCCGCATGAGACCTTTCACAAATAAGAGGGCCTACCAATCCGTTAGAAGGACGCCTTGCGGGATCATTTTAGGGCAACAGACATTCAACCATTCAAGTTTTCCCCAGTGCGACCCAGCTTCGCGCCAACCTCCCCGCATCCAGACACAAGACCAGCCTGCCAAGCGCAGGCCGCTACTTCTACTCGTACGCGCCCAACTCGCTTCCAAGTATCTACTGCCTCCCAGAGAGGTCCGACCCGCCTGATACGAAGCCCTCCTTGCACACCTCCGACCCGATTCACTTTCCACCAAGTCTCGTCTTCAACGGTCTGCCTCCAAGTTGGAAGAACACAGACCGTTCGGCGACCAGCCCCACTTCACAAGCAAAAGTCCGTTGTGCCTTCAAGCCCACGTTGCGGCCCCCGCCGTCAGTGATCAAGCCTGAGCGTCGCCTAGGAGTTAAAAATGCTTCATGAAGGAATCGAACCCGCGTCCAACCTCCAACAAGCAAGGACGCTGACCAGCACTCTAAAAGAAGACGTTGTACTTCCTTTTCGCAGCACCCACTATTCAAAGCGACCCCCTGCTGCTTCTAACACTTCCTAAGATACAAAATGCATCCCTCCACCGAGCGATGCTTACCTGTTGAGGTAGAAACCTGATTCCGCTTCCTAGTAGGTGCAACGTTGGTATAGCTAGAAACGCGATCCCACCTCCTACTAGATGTGACAAACGTAACTACCAGGAGCACGACCACGCAAGGGCTGTAACACATCAGAAAGGTAAACCCCAATCTCTAGGAAAAAACAAAATATAAAAGGGAAACGACAGGAAGTGCGGGGAAGCAGACTTCCCAAAGCTACTCAGCCCACATTATATCTCAAGGCGGCTCACCCCTCAAATCTGCCACTTACAAAGCGTTTAGCTTCCAAGATTATATGAACCAAGACCTCCATGCAGGCTCGTTCCGCATCCAGTTCGGTCACAAGACCCGCACTCCAAGTCCAGGCATATCATGGGCCGCATGCCGGTTCACAATCAGCCTCCTCCGGCTTGCAACGAGCGAGCTCTCAATTGTCCCGTTACAAAAATAAATGAGGACCGCCTCGGCAAAGCTTCGAACTCGCGTCCAACCAAGCACAAGGGATCATCACCACCATGCTACGTTCCGCACCCGTGCGATATTATGATCGCGAGAACGTTGACACGCCAAAACACAACACCAAACTGCGACCAAGTGTAATCGCAGTCCAGGAATGCAGTAAAATGGCAAGTTCTATTATCAACCCGGGGTCTAGATCTACTGCTTACGCCGTGATTCTCTATTATCTAGCCAACTAAGTTAAGTGTTTGTTGTTTAAAGCAAAAGCAGAAAGAAAGCAGGAATTGGTACGGTTTTCTCAAGCAAAGAAGAGTCACTCGGGAATGAGTCCCCCTAGCTCCTTAGTTAGGTTTCAATTGTATTTTCCCTGGGTTGATTTACTGTTGATTAGACTGCGGAAGATCCGGCAGTAGCTTGGAATCTCTTAAGCTGACCAAGCCCTCTCAGTCTAACTACCCGGCAGACGACTAGTCTTCACCGGAATAGAAAGTTGAAGCAATAAGCATAGAACTCCACTACTGGAATTGGATTCCAGTACAAAGCAGTAAACTGGCTAACTCTCGTATAGCCAATCTCCTACTACCGAATGATGAGGCTCTAACAACCTAATCAGATTCTATCTATCTCAGGTTGCAGCAGAAATCAGGAAAAGCTGATCAGACTTCAATTGACTCAATAAACATGCATCATTCGATTAAAACCAAGCAGTAATATCATCCCAAGTCATTACAATCAAATCCCTAACACATAGAACTAGGGTTCTTCATACCCAAGTGAGAGAAGGGTTCTACTCCATAGAGAGAGAGAGGGAAACAGAATACAGAGTAGTCATACTCATAAAGATGAGGAAAATCTGCTCTAGGATGATGATTTCCACTCCTATGACAATCTCCAAGCTTGATTTGATGAAACCCAGCTCCAAGATAGCTTCTAGGATGTGTTCTTTGTACTTTCTCTCTCTAGGGCTCTGTTTTTGCTCTCAAAACTCCGATTCTCTCACTTGCAGCCCGAAATTGGGTAAAAACCAGAAATTCCCAACTCACACGGGCAGGGTCACACGGCCGTGTGGCATACCCAGTTTCCCGTGTGAGGTCAAAACGCCGCGTTCCGAATAATTGGATTTTAGGCTTCTTACACGGCCAGGGTCACACGGCCGTGTAGCTCACCCAGCCTGGCGGTGTGAAGCCTCGCAGAATTCCACACGGCCAAAGTGCAACTTCACACGGCCGTGTGAATATCAAGGCTGGCTGTGTGAAGGCTCGCACAATCCCACACGGCCAAATTGGTCACTTGCACGGCCGTGTGGCTTCTGTGTGTGCCCGTGTGGCTTCCTTTTTGACTTGCCTCGCGCCCGATCTTCGTCCAATCGACCCCGAACTCGCTCCTAATCCTTCATTCACTTGCTAGGACCTGAAATATCACAAACAAACACAACCTAGCATGAAATCGGCCTAAAACACGAGAATTACCATCTCAAACGGCTCCATAATAGGGGTAAAAACATGTGCAATTAACGGCTTATCAAACGTCTCCACTTGAAACGAAAGCCCGATCCTGCATTGGCACGGAGACAACGCCCGACCTTCGCTTTACATAGGCGATGCATCGACACAAGAGAATCCTGATCCTGCGTACCATTCTCGTCTCTATCATCGCCCACGTCTTTCATGGCCATTTCTGATTCGTCCAGACCACCGAATATTGTTCGGGCCAACCGCTCGCCTTATGGAGCCCAAGCACCCATAAGACAACGCTCGCGCGACCCAACTCGCATCCAAGCCCGCCCTTCAATAATGGCCCGTCCGCCAAGCTAGGGTTACCCATCCTTTAAAACGGCCCATTCCCAATGGCCCACGAAGACCAAACTACCCAGTAGTTAAATGATTCTTCCATTACAAAATAATAAATTGGAGAATCGCCTCCAAAAATATTCGAATATAGAACCACATACAAATCAAATTTCATGCCTTCCAGGCTATATCAAAGACTCATGACTTCGTGCCAGGCTCGGTTCACGCGTCCGAACTCCAGGCTAAGCTCTCAATTTGTTCAGACTCTCCAAAGCGCTTCCCGTAAGACCATAAAAACAAACGCCTCCTGAAACGACCTCCATACATACTGAAAGACGGAATGCCTCTCGACAGACCAAGAAGAAGCGTCTGCCCGTAGGCTGAAAAGAAGAAACGCCTCCCGATAAGCTAAAAGAAGACACGCCTCCCTATAGGCTGAAAGGAAGAAACGCCTCTCGACAGACTGAAAAGGCTCAAAAATCGCCTCCGAGCGATGCTCCCTTCGGGGAATGATTTCCTCCTACGAGCTATAATCTCTCCAGGAATGATTCTCGCCTTCCGCCTCCTGGCAATGCTCGAAAACTGCCTCCGAGCGATGCTCCCTTCGAGGAATGATTCCCGCCTACGATCAATGTTCCCTCCGGGAATGATTCACACCTTCTGTCTCCTGTCAAGGCTAGAAAACCGCCTCCGAGCGATACTCCCTTCGTGGAATGATTTCCACCTACGAGCGATGCTATGAGCACGATTCATGCCTTCCGCCTTCGGGCAAGGCCCAAAAACCGCCCCAGAGTGATGCTCCATTCAGAGGGGGATTTCCGCCTGCGAGCGATGCTCTCTCCGGGAATGATTCACACCTTCCGCCTCTAGGCAAGGATTGAAAACCGCCTCAGAGCAATGCTCCCTTAGGGGAATGGCTTCCACCTACGAGCGATGCTCCCTCCGCGAATGATTCACGCCTTCCGCCTCCGGGCAAGGCCTAAAAACCGCCCCCGAGCGATGCTGCCCTTCGGGGAGTGATTTCCGCCTACGAGCGATGCTCCCTCCGGGAATGATTCACGCCTTTCGTCTCTTGGCAAGGCTCAAAAAATGCCTCCGAGCTATACTCCCTCTCGGGAACGCTTCCCGTCTCTGAGCAATGCACCTCTGAGTAATGACCAAAACACTTAAGCGCTTCCCAGAAAGTCGAAGGACTAATGAGCTTCCCAAGACGGCTAAGACTAACACGTATCTTATAAGCCAAAAGACTACGAGGATGATCCGGCCTCGCGGCAATACTCCCACCACGAGAATATTCCGCCTCCGGGTGATGCTCCCCTCACGGGAATGCTTCTTCCACGAAGGTGAAAGCCCAATCTCACTTCTCCCAAGTGAGTCATTATCATAAAATTTCCTTCCGACAGGCTCACACACCTCCCGATAGGATGGAGGAAAAACACCTTTCGAGAGGCTTGAAAGGATAACAGAATGGTCCTTGTGCGCAAAACCGCACCATGGGCACAAAGGCATCAGTGGCATACCCATAAACCAACAATGGACAGAGCAAACGTCCTCGGACAACAAAGGGGCAGGGATGACTGAGCTCTCCCACGCCCTATGGTTGCATCACACGATCCACAAGATGGCCACGGGAGAGACTCCCTTCGCTCTAACATACGACACCAAAACGGTCACCCCAGAGGAAGTAAACTTACGTACCCTCCCTCGGTGTTCAAGCATACAAGTCGGAGGACAACAACAAGAAGCTACTGGGGCAACAAGACATGGTAGAATCGCGACGTAACGCGACCATGGAACGAATCGCAAGCGGAAAAGAGAAAGCAACCACCTCCTACAACGAAAGGTGAAAACGCTACAAGCTTGACGCAACCTGGGAGGCCCATCCCTCACCAAGGACAAAACAGGTCCCAACACCTTTCGCCTAGTAACCATGGAAGGCGTCTCAGTCTCCAAGAACATGTAACGACTTGCACTTGAGAAAGAAATACCTAGACGCAGTCTGAAGCATATCCCGTCCGCTACCAAGCAACCGCTTTTGCCAGGAAAATACACTTTCAATTTTTTGGCCAATTCCATCCCTTCAGCTATATCATGCAAGTACTAAAGACACATATGCAACATTTTGCAAAATCGCGCTTTTCGAATGAATGACATACCCAACCCCTCGTCAATTCAATCGTTCCTAACACGATCAAAATGACACTCAATGATCTCGCGATCACTACCATGCCAAACAAGCCACCTAATGCACGAAATGTGAGATCACCTAAACCCGCTCCAATGCGGTCGCTAAAAGGTTTTCACATGCATAGCGCACCCAGTGCTTCCAAAATACCGCTGTTTAAACAGTTAGAACATGTTCCGTGAATCTTGTTTCATACTTTTAGCACTAGTCTTGAATATGCTTAAACTAGCTAGGTATTAATCTAACGTTAAGTATAATTTTTGTTGATATGTATGATTCAACATGGGCAAGGTGAAAGACAATGGAAGAATGTTAATGGTGACAAGAATGAACAAGAAGATGAAAGTTTTGAAATTTATGAAGTTTTATTTGTGATAATGGAGTGAACATTTGTTTTTCTCCCATCTATTTCATGATTATGATTTTTCTTTTGTATGAATGGAGTGACCGCTTGTTTTTCTCCCCTTCATTTGGTGTTAATGGCCTGAAAAAACAAGTGTTCAGTTCTAGAAACTATATTTGATATTTTTCTCCAGCGTTGGACCGATGGATATCAAACGTTTGTCGACAGGCACACACACACACACACACACATATATATATATATATATATATATATATATATATAGTTCAGGCTAGCGTACGCTACCTAGCGTACGCCCCATTGAGTTTTGCTATATAGATAATGAATTAATCGGAGTTTGGGGCATGATACTATACCCTAACCTCTAATGGGTGAACCCTAGTCCCTAAATTTCTAACCCAAACCATGAGGTTCGTTTAATCTTAAAATGAAAACCAATGAAAATTTCGACGAATCAGAATCGTTGATTTTCATTTTTAAGATTAAACTAATCTCATGCTTTGGGTTAGTGAATTGGGGACTGGGATTCACCCATTAGGGGTTAGGGTATAGTATCATGTCCCAAAATCCGATTAATTCTTTGTCTAAATAGCAAAACTCAATGGGGCGTACGGTAGGCTAGTGTACGCCCGGACGTACGCTAGCCTTTGCCATATATATATGGGTCACACTCGTATGCGTCAGACACATACTATGCGACAGGATTTCTACACCGTAGATATAATCTAACGGTGTTTATTAATTGGAATTAAATTATTTAATTTTTACAATTTTTAAATGATTAGTTGGTCCTATTACTTTTTTATGAGTACCCTTTAACCCCTAAACAAACTTTTCAACATATTTACGAATTATAGTACCAAATTTTATTCTAATCATGTCTCCAATCCATTAAGTTATATTTACTTACAATTTTAGTTTGGTGATTTATTCATTTTCCCACTCATGTCAACGCTCAAACCCCCTTTCCAATTGCTGTCTGTAGTGGCTGACGAACCCTCTCCTCTCATCCTGGCTATCGATTGAAGCAATTGGATTTTGCGCTTCCCATCGATATTTAATCCCTCTATGGATTAAGAGAGTGATCTGTTCGAGGCATGATGGATTGAATCTTGTGCTCGAGAGGCGGATGAGGAAGGATCGGAGAAGTGAAGAGTGCAGACTCGAGAGGTGGGCCAAAGTGCGGATCGCCGATAGCGGTGGGTAGGTACGCTGCCGTTGATGGCCAACGGAAAGTGCGAATACCAACCGCAGCAGCCAGAGCGGACGAACGAGACTGATGGCATAAACTTTGATAGGTATGAATAATGGGCCTTACTTGAAATTGCAGAAGTAGAAGTTGTACTAGGTCAAATTTGTGTTTGAAATTTGTCTTTGGATGTTTATGGGATGTCTGATTTCATTGTTAGCAATAACACATTAAGATTCACTGTCTCCCTTTCCCCATGTGCAGATTGCAGAAGTTTCTGAATCCGTTTTTATTGACTGGGTGATTTCTCAGCATGATCACATTTTGGGATGGACTGGTCGTTCTTTTGACCTTGAGGTTAGTCCGTAATTGCGGTGGATGATTTCTAGTGCAAGCCTCAATCAGATTCACCTTGATCACATCAAGATGTACTATGCAATTGTTAAACGCACTGAATTAAATATGAACAACCACAGTAGGGTAATTTGCGAAACATGTGAACTTGAAAATAGTTGTTGGGGTATGCAAGACTGGGAACCTTTGTGTTTCCTGTTGTTTGAATGTCACTTGGCAGGTACTAGAGTAATCTTTTGGGATCTCAGAGAGAGATTCTTGTTTGGTTTTTACAAATTGGTGATGTTGGATCTTCTCGCTTGGGAAATTTCCTTCCTCAAGCAGATAATGTAAGACTGTCAACTTCAGTGGAGCCTCCTCTTTGTTTGTCTTGCTTGCTTCTCTTAGCTGAACTTGCATATAATTTTCAGGTTCTTGATTAGATATGCCGATTGATTGATGATAAATTCAGAGACTCGGTGTTGTTAAGCGTTTGCCGAGCATCGTTGGTAGGTCTTCAAATTCTCTTTTATACTTTAAATTCGCAAACCTTCCATTAAAGCTTGTATATAATTTGTACACATTATCTTGCTACAGTAGGGATATGTTTGGGTGTTGCTTAACTGAGGCCCCTCTCGTGCATTCTCTGATTCAGATGTTGTTATGATGGAAGAAGACTTAGATATCTTGAAGGTCTATCATTTCCTCTCTCTCTCTCTCTCTATCTCTCTCCAATGCATATGTGATATGTGTAATTACGTATGTGTTCGGTTCATACATAGTGATGGCCGAAAATTTTTTTGGTCAAGAAAGAAACAGTACTAGGTTGGCTACTGATAAATTGATTCTCATTCTTCAGGTGTTCTTTATAGCCAGTGGAGATGGCCTCCCTCATTCGGTGGTGGAGCCAAACGCAATAGAGGAATATGCTTGTAAATAGGCTTGTCATTGGTGGGGATTTAATCTGTACTCCTTGTTAATAGGCTTGCTTTCCTTAGTTGGATCAGTTTAGGTGTCAATAGAGGAATTCTTTTTTTGGACGTAATGGTATTAATAAATTAGGTTTGTTTGGCGGTCTATATAAAGGGGCGCCAAGCCTAGAGTTTACCTTGTAAAAAATAACTCCTGCCGTTTTCCCTGGTGACTTTAGCAAAAGTAAGGCTTTTCTTCTGTGTTGGCGGGGAGATAAACTAATTGCAATGGAGAAATCTCGGTACAGTGCAACAACTAAAATAGCTCTTTCTTTTGGTCGTTTGTGCTGTTCCTTTCTTACAACCTTTTTCCTTTCATGTATGTTCTTTATTCGCTCCTTAAGCCGCTTTGACTTTTGTTTGTTTATGACTTGATGCTCCTTCAATTCCCTACAATTATGTAAGTCCTTAGTTATTTATTGTTTTACGCGGGCAAAATTTGTTGTTTAGCATGTCGAGCCATGGTACTAAGGAAGTTTTTGGATCCATATCGACTACCTTTCGAGCCATGGAGACGACGTTCACTGAAAACTGATACTGAATTTCAAGTGCTTTCATTATCATTGCAGTCAAAGGTAGTAGAGAATGCGTTTCTCTTAATGTTTTGCCCTTTACTGTATAGTCCATTCATTCTTTCGTCATCATTTACTTGTTTATTTATTTCAGATATATTTGCCAATGAATGATGAGAACCGCCATTGGTTTCTTATTGTGGTTTTCATGGACCGAAAGGTAGTGCATGTAGTGGACTCTTTGCCTATTGATTTGGGTTTGCTGGAAAATCGTAGGAAAAGGGTGCAAGGAATGGTGGGTGATCAAACTATTCCCTTCGTGTAAATTTAGTAAGTCAAATTTTTTTTTAAATTTTTGTACTGTAATAGTTACGTGGTTAAGTTTGTTGTTACAGTTGAAATTCTTTTACAAGATGCTTCAAGAATTTCCAGATAAGCCATCAACCTATGAAGTGCCCAAAGTGCATAAGTTTCAAATCATAAGTCCTCCATACGTTTCTAAGCAAATTGATGAGTTAGTATTTCTTTGAGTATTTTGATTATTTCATTTCGATTCATAATCTTATTTTCAATAATAAATGCTATTTTTCCACGTAGCTATGAGTGCGGGTTTTACGTCTGTCAGTGGATGTCACACGGAGAGGCTGATAATAATTCGTATACGGCGGTATAATACAATCCTTTCCTTCTAAATATGATTCCATCCACGTGAGATTCTACACTATCAAATCGATATCAACATGTTAAGAGTAATGTTATAAATTTGCTGCAGGTTTGTAGTAATAGAGGTCGACTATCCTTGGCCATAAGTTTAGTCAAAGATCTCTCAAATACAAGGCGCTCTCAAATTATTGATGAAGCAAGGGCCGTTTATGAAAGACATTTCAAGGGGAAAATCAGCTCAAAATGCCAAAAGAGTTTATTTGCTTCATTTTAGAAAAGTAATTGTTTTTGTTTTATTGGTAGTCGGTCGGTTTTATACTTTTATTGGTAGTCGGTCGGTTTTACTATCACTTTGATCCCAATTGAATTCATTTTAGAATGGTTTTGGTGTTTACCTTTATTTTTTCTTAAATCCGAATGTTGGTTCACGTTTTTTGTGGCTTTGTTCCTGATGCTTGTTCAGCTGAGATAAGGCTTAAAGAAGGCGCCTAGGCTTGAGCCTTATGCCCCATTCACTTGGCATTTCATTTTATGTTTTTTGTTGTCACAACAAAAAATAAGAAATATGAGTAAAAAACATGGTTCATTTCTCCTGCAAAACAACAAAATCTAGTTTCCTGGAAATTTAGTCGCGTGTTTCTCCCCCATTCCCAGCGGAAAATTGCTACTGTAGTTAAATGAGGTTCTGGGTTCAAATCACATCACCCAATTTTTTTTTCCTTTACTTCCTTCTCGACCATCATCTTGGAACTTTCTTCCCTCTTAAGTCCACACCAGATAAACTCATAAAACCTGAACATGTTTCCGCCACAGTTTCCGGTTGCCGACTCGCTTCGTCCCCCTCAATTCCACGTCAAGAAACTATTGACCTTTCTCCTGGTCAGTGGGGTTTTTTGTTATCTTTATTTCGGCCCAAAAAACGCACCAATTCTTGGCTTTGGCCTTTGGATATCTCATATCTTGCCACCGGAGGACGCCGGAGATTATGCGTTCATCGGAGCAAACATAACCATGTTGAATCCAACAAATAGCTTCAATAACAAAATTTTAACCCAATAACAAGTGTATTGTTTTGGTTCTCAACGAACATGAAAAGGGAAAGAGACAAGCAGACAATTCAAACAATTCAAAGGTATTGTTTTGGTTCTCAACGAAAATGAAAAGGGAAACAAAACTAGAGTACTGGCAGGAGAACTAATCAACCAAATATCCAGAATATACTACTGCAGGCGAAATGAACCACCATCTCCCTATGAATCTTCGAGTTCTGGATTACGCTCTTTTGGCTTTCCTCCTTGTACCTACGAGTCTGGGCAACAAATCTCGATGCATTACTATTTGCTTCCTCGATGACGACATGTCTTATGTAATTTGTAGGGTGTTGGACCAGATACAAAGCTAGTTGCATTCTCCTTATATCTCCGCATGGCTGCAGCAGTTTGACAATGACAATGAGGCTTAGTAGCTGTTTCGAAAGGTTGTTTTCCTTCAAGGCCAAGTAGGAGAATTCTTGCTTACCCATATATTATAAGAAGCATCCAAGATGAACCCATCATCCATGAGCACACCCAAACGCCACTATTAGACCTACATAAAATAAGATGCAGCATATGAGTGGTGGGTATCTAAGTATGTTTCTAATTTGTTCACAACGAACAATTCTTACTCGTGACGTTGTTCGGGAATTAAAGGAATTGTCAAAGAAAATTGTTCCAGCACAGGTGGATCAAGTGTTGGTTCCACTTGCCGATAAAGATCCTCAAACAAGTCATCAAGAAATTCGATCTACATAAGCAGTAATCACTTTATTCGGGATAGATGAATACACAAATCAATTTAGAGATATAACTGTATTAGGATCAGGAGGTCAAACCATACCATAGTTACTACTGCGTTTCTACGAGATCTTTGGCGCTTTTTAGAAGGATACGAATCCAATAGATGGACTTGTTTGTCGTCCAGCATAATGACAGCTAAATACCAGTGAACTGCATCACCGTCCATTGCATCTTTCATGGGCAGACACACCTAAATAACGACAAAAAAGACCAAACTCAGCTGAGCATTGTAAAATACAATTTATAGAAATATCAAAAGCTTGATGGAACATCTAATTTATTCGCATATCCAATTCAAACAGTAGCTAGAAACAGTAATTGAGGAATATTTCAATGAAACAAGAAAGGAATTGTTAAGAAGAAACCTTTCTGCACGTGTGAGCTCTTGCCAAGAACTTTGCACTGTAACACTCTAGAGCTTTTTTTGATGTCATGCCATTGTTAATTACCATTTCCTGATCATGGTTCAATTAAAATAGAAGATAACACATTTAATAGGAGAAACGGAATATTGCACCTAAAATAAATATACAAAGTAAATGGGACTATACTTGTAGTTCAGCACGCAGATAACAGACTACTCTTCCATCTCCAACATCCCTCCAAACTTTCTCCAGGCTCAATTGGCAAGCCATGGCTGTAATTACATCATCATCGACATTAGACTTAGGGCAGAGGGATCACAACACCTTTTGTGTATAGGATTGCATCATGATTTCAACCAGGACTTCCTTTTGTGGAAGATCCTTCGCAAATATGTAGTGGGCAAGGTTCACTTCCTCTCTAGTGTACTTGAGAAGTGTTGGAAGTGTAAACTTTGTTTCACCCTACAATAGAAGACGAAACATAAGGATAAAAACAATTGATTTTGTTCTAAGCGGGGAAAATTGGTGGGCTAGATTATCATACCTTCTTGTCGAATTGTAAGTAAGAAAATCTGGTACGGCCTTTCCAAACTAAGTCATTCCAATCTGCCTGCAAATCACCATCAGTCTGGATCACACCATCTTCAGTGCTACCTTTCTTTCCTCGAGATTCATCCTTCTCCAGCAAAGAATTCATCGTAATAAAAGCACAATGCCTTATTTAGTTTGGAAGAATAATCTGCCAACGATGGAGAAAACGAGAAAAAAAGAATGCAAATTGACGAACCATTAATTTGGAAGAACTTCTGGTCTTGCGTTTTGTCATCATCCTGCCTTCCTTATCGTTCTGCATATTGCTCCTGGTTTCTGCCCCCTGACCGGGCTCCTGTACTACTGTCCTGAATGAGCTCCTGGTGAATGCAGAAAAGGAGTTAGCATTCTTAAACTAGGGCCAACGGGTGAGTGTTTTTCTCTATAAGGATACTGGAAACTTTATCTTCGTCATTAACCTCCACATGGAAAAGGAAAATAATATTTTTACGGGTAATAATTAACATGGAAACAATCCGCATCACCTATTTGGAAGTTGAATCTACCATATATAACATGCAAGCATTCTTTAGTATTTTTTTCCGGTAATTCAAGCATTCTTTATTAGTTGCATTCTTTATCCAACTAGTAACCATAACGGGAAACAATATAATAAAAATTTAAAGTACTAAAATATAAAATAAAAAAAACTGTACACTATGACGGGAAAAAATAGAAAAAACTAATAACACGTGAAAAGCGGATTAGATTAACAACAGCAGCAAAAAGACCTCTGCTTTGCGCCCGATTCAGCCCCTCCCCACAAACGGCAAAAAGACGGCACACCAATGGAGGAAGAGGGAGATAATATCAACAACAATGAAGACAACGATGTTGAAATCATACCAGAAACAATGACCTCTGACAACAATGGTCCTACTGTACAGGAGGATGACACAAACGTTATTCAAAATTCTCCTTTTATCGGTCAGGAATTCAATCATTTTGAGGATGCATATGCGTTCTACAACAACTATGCTAAGAGTTGAGGGTTTCCTGTCCGTCGCTCAAGGAAGGTTAAGAACGTCAAGGGAGAGGTAACAAGTGCAGCCTTCGTGTGTTCCTGTCAGGGAGTTCGAGAAGCACATAAAGGTCCACAAAAGAGGGAGTCGCCTATGGAGATCAGATTTCAGTGCATGGCTATGTTTCGTGTGAGCTTGAACAAGACAAACAATAAGTGGGTTGCTGATATATTTAACTCACAGCACATTCATGACCCAGTTAGGAAGAATCAGGTACATTACTTGAGGTCGCATCGAGGATTAACATAAGCAGACAAGGCAGACCTCCGATTTAAAAAGGATGCCGGAATGAAACCTTCTCAGGCCATTACGCTTGCTGTGCATTGTGCTGGAGGGCATGACAAACTTGGGTATACAGTTAAAGATGGGTTAAATTTCAGCACCAAAGACCGCGCTGAGAGAATCAGCGAGGGTGATGCAGCAACTGCACTGGCCTATCTAGAATCAAAGAAAAGCACAGACCCACACTTCCTCCTCCGATACACTACTGATGAGGAAAAAAGGCTCCATTTTATATTTTGGGCTGACAGCATTTGCAGAGCCGACATTTCGTGTTTTGGAGAGTTGCTCGCATTTGACACAACGTACCAAAAAAACATTTACAATATGCCACTGGCCATTTTTACAGGTACGCCATCCTAGTATGCCCTCTAAGTATTATCCTTTGCTTTGTTGTTTGAAGACACATAATGGCATCTAGAAAACAACAAGTTTTTGATTATATGAACTCTACAATTGTTTACATATTTCTCACAGTTTTAGCTTTTCTCTTGCTGGTTCAAAAGATTCTGATTTTTCCGAGTTTCTGTTTGACATTGTAGGTATCAACCATCACTTCAAAACTTGCTTATTCGGGAGTGCACTGTTGCCCAATGAGACTGACGAAACCTATATTTGGGCATTGAAGATAGTGAAGGAAATGTTGGAGGACATTCCGCTACGTACAGTTGTCACGGATGGGGATAAAGCAATGAGGAAAGCTATTGCTAATGTGTTTCCAAATGCAACACATAGGCTATGTGCATGGCATTTGTCCAAGAATATCACTGGCAGGGTGAAGAATCGACCCGACTTTGAACCGCGATGGAAGAAGTTAGTAACTGCTGAGTACGAGCCAGACGAATTTGAGGAGAAATGGAATGCATTGGTTTAGGAATGCGAACTCCAGAACAACCAATGGGTGTCGAAAAAACTATTTGGGAGACGCAACGAATGGGCGGACACATACTTGCGCTCACATTTCTTTGCTGGGTTGACAACCACATCAAGATGTGAAAGCATAAATGCGGTTATTGCAAGGTATGAAAATGAGAGGTTCTGTTTGCTTGACTTTTTCACTCAATACGACCGGTGGCTCAAGGACATGAGAGAGACAGAGATTAGATTAGATTTTGAGTCTAATTATGGTGTAGTTCCTATAAAGAATTCAATCCTAAAGCCCCTCGAGCAAAGTGCAGCAAAGCTTTTCTCAAAGGCTGCATTTCTTTTGTTCAAAAATGAGTTGGAGGAGGTTATTGGAGTCATTAAGGGTAACCAAACTGAAGAAGGGAACCTACACACTTACACTGTTACCATGTTCAACAAAGAGAAGGTCATAGAGGTGAAATACAACATTGAAACAAGCGATATGGAGTGCAGTTGTCAAAAGTTTAAGAGTATTGGGATACCCTGCGTTCATATGCTATTTGTTCTCAATGAAGAAAAAGTGAAGACTATTCCTGAAAAACTGGTACTCAGACGTTGCTCGAAGAACCCAAAGTCCCTAGACACTCTGCCAGAACCAAGTACATTGGGGGATGACAGCAGTTTCAGCATTAGGTACGGGTCGCTACAGTTCATGTCTCAACGATTCTGCTTATTAGGAGCATACACTCCTCTCTCTTATCGAATGGCTCAAGATGAGTTGACAGCAGCGTGTAACAAGTTGGAGATGGTAAAGAAAACCCCGCCGAGAGAGAAAGGATTGTCATACCAGAAAAGTTCAAAGAAGTATTGAACCCAAATCAAGTGAGGTTTAAGGGCTGTAGGAAAGGAAAAGGGAAAAAAAAAACTTTAGAAAAAAAGAAGAAAGTGTGGGAACTGCGGGCTAAGGGATGGGCATTATAGGAGCACTTGTACTAACCCCCCAGCCGACGTGGTAGAATCTCAATATGATGAGGAGGATGACGACGATGTCATGGACGATGATGAGGACGATGATGGGGACGATGATAGGGACGATGATGGGGACGACGGAGAAGATGGAGAAGACGATGATGGAGATGATGACCAAGGTGGTCAGCCCCCAAAGGTAATTAGCATCTCTGGTTAGGTGTTCTTGATATAGTTATTAGAGTTAATAACCTACAGTTGTTATTTTGTTTTTACCAGAAGCAACGAACGAGCAGGCATAATACTACTGGAGAGCCCATAGGAAAACGTCAGCCACAACAGAAGGTTATATATCATTTGTTTATTCACTAAATTATCGATTTGTTAGAAATGGCTATTAGCTTAAGAGTTTATTTGCCCTCTAACAAATCGGGGCACGTACTAGGAGCAATACTAGTCAACAAGAGAAGGGAGCAGAAAAGGGAGCTAAGAAGTATACAGGACATAGTGCTGGGAGTACTAGTCGGCATGATGATCATCCAGGCGATGAACATCAACTGGTACTTTTCCAATCATGTTTTTTATTTAACCAGCAAGATTGGATGATTCTTTGTGTTGGAAGTTACATCTTTAATATTATTTTTTCTTATTTTGTTCTGCTACAGAAACAACATCAGACTAGAACCCGTGGTGCAAATAACAGAAGCATCAAGAAAAACAAATGAAGTTCACTAGCACTTCCATAGCAAGAAGTTGAAACGCCTATGGAAAGCAATGACCACTTTTTATTGAGTTTACAATTTCATTATTGATTTTAGGGGACAAAATCTTTTAGCTTGGTATATTTCACAAAAGTAAACTACATCGACACTTCATATTTTTGTTGGACGAAGGGTACATTGCGGGACATGAACTGTTTGCAATTGAAAGGACATACCTGGCTTTTCTTCTTTGTTTTTTTTTGTTTTGTTTTGTTTTGTTTTTTTTGTCTGTGAAGCAGACCTGGCTAGCTAATGCCTCAAGGGTTGCTCCTCCATAAACTGACAGCATAAGAACATGTATATCTTTGAATCAGATGTTGAAGCCAAATATATGGAAACCCATTCATGTGTCTAACCAGTAAAGCTGCCTAAAATTGTAACTGTGACATTGGAAATGAGTAATTTACCTCCAGTCTGAAGTGCTTTTTCAATTTGTCCACTTCAGATTTCCTTGAGGCCTCAACTGACTCAATCTCCAAATCCGTATTTTGTTTGGTAACACCACGAGCTGCTCCCTGGTGAAAAAGTAGACGAAATTTGCATGACTCAAACGGATAGCACAAAGGTTGCTAGTTCAGGAAGAGACTGCAAAAGGAAACAGATAGCAAAGAAACAAGAAAAATTACTCACGGCAGCAGAGGCATCTCGACTAAGTTGCAAAGAAGACATTCCTAGCTGTGAACCAAAATTCCTATGTTGCATGTACCCTTCTCAAGCTACCATCAGGGGCAGGAGCTTCTTCAGTACTCCAATGTATGGTCAACAGCCTAATGCAAAATCACCAATTAAGAAACTGTTCTTTGGAAATATAGAAAACAAAACCCAAACGTTCCAGCAACACAATCGAAATATCTAACGGTGTTTGGTCTATACTACAAAACCCAATTCCATATTCATCCATCATCTACTATTCATCCATATTCATCCATCATTGCTCAAGTTACTATCTGGAACTATCTAGAGCATTCAACATGACCTAGGAAGCTAAATGCAATTGTCCAGACAAGAGAAACAGTTCACAACATGAGCTCATACTAAAATCAGTTAAACAATCCGGTATAATTAAACAATGCAATCATTAGCTTGATGTGAAGGACTATGTTCTATTTAGATGACTTTTATGTTCTGTTTAGAACCCATCTATCAACAAAGGCCAGATCTGTCAACACACACTCAAAGCTTAGATACCTGTTTTCGATGCTCAGTACCCTGCTTGTGCTGCTCCCATTCATGGCCTCCTCGAAGCAACTTATCTCCTCGAAGTTCCTTCAAGTTCTTCCTCCTCCCCCGATTCGCAAGCCTCAAATCAACATGAATACAAAACGAAATAAAAGAAACGAGGTCAGAAACCCAAAGTTTGGACTCGGTAATTGGGGAGTGCCCAGTCATGTCCTGATTTTAAAAGGAACTCAAAGAAACGAAAAGAAAAATTGCATAGCAACTACCTGCAATCGTTTATTAGAGGGCCTTTTTAATCCGAGGGAATGGAACCATAGCTGCCGCTCTTACCAATCCAGATTTGTTTTGTATGCATCTCGTGCCAAACAAAGAGGAAATCGAAGAACCAAAAACGAAAACCAAAAAATCGGGGAAGGAAAAGGAGAAGGAAAAGCGAGATTTCACTAACTCTTTATCTTCCAGTTGGAGCATCTTCGCCTAACACAACCCAGAGGAACAACCTCAAATCCACCAGGTTTCATCAACCGAGCAACTCGTCGGCAGCTACGCGGAACCGCTGTCGCCAATTGATGGAATCGTCGACTCTCTCTCTCTCTACTCGTCGGCAGAAACGCCGAACCGCCGTCGCCAGTCGATGGAATTATTGGAATCGTCAACTCTCTCTTTCTCTCTACTCGTCGGCAGAAATGCGGAACCGCCATCGCCTCTCTCTCTCTCTCTCTCATATTGACGACATGCAAGATAGAATGAGAATGGGGGGTTCAGAATGAAGGAAACGTTTCTGGGAGACGAACCAGATCTTGTTCAAAAGACACGCAATTTTTTGGCGGAAAAAAGCGCTATTCTGAGAAGGTAAAAACCAAATTTTAACAATATTGAATTTTCTTTTTACGTTGCATTTTGCCGCTTCCATTAGGACACTTCTTTTTACACATT